AGACCCTTATTGTAATGTAGTGTCGACCCGGGGCAACAATAAGAAAGGTTGCTGTGCTGTTTGTACCCATGTCAGCTTTTCACCACAGGGAAGGCAGGGACGTGTCAAAAAAAGACTTTTGGCTTTAAAAAAAGCCTTTTAAGCCCTGTTTCCATCAATCCAACTTGACTTATTGTGCTTATCCTAGCTACCTACCCACAACAAACCAGTTTCTTTGGAAATTATTCCAAGGAAATTTCTCATTCACGTGGAGCAGACAGTATAGATATTTTCAAACATATTTCTTACAAGGACAATTTTACTAAGGAAAGAGTAGTAATACAACAACCCAAAGAGCTTCACTTACCCAAACACAGCTTGTTACACTGTCATTATGTATTGTTCCTATTGTTAAGTATTGCTCGTGTAACTTGTGAGTAGAATTGCAACCTTCTTCACCTGACCCACATGATAGCAACATGAAACAAACCAAGGGATGTTGAGTGCAAAGACTGAGCACATCAAATAACTTGGTGGCAAGGCAAGATACATTCTTGCTCAAATAGTAAAATGGTGGCTCAATCTACAGTCTTTAAAGCAGCTCTGGCCTTGCACCAAAGTAAATCTGTGACATCGGGAGACAGCATTTCAGAATTCTGGAGGTCTTCCTGACAGTGGGCCTCATGTATGAAAATTGCGCAGAAAAAGGTGTACATTTTGGGTGTAGATCCCAGATACGCAAGATCTGACGTGGCATTTATGAACGTGTGAGATACGCCCAGATCTGAGCGTACGCACCTGCGGCTGTTGATAAATGCCGCGCTCAAAACCAGCGTATTTATGAAAGTCACGCCTAGAAATATTCAGAAACTGCCTGTTCCACGCCCTGTTTTTGCTACAGGTCAGCAGGAAGTTGGCTAAGAAGCCGCAAAAAGCACGCACTTTTGAGTTTATTCACGTTTAAAAAACAAACAAAAAAACGCTATTTTATATATACACTTTTTCCCTAGTGTCTAGATCCACTGCAGCACTCATCTCTCCTGAAATTTCGACGTAAATAAATAAATAATAAATTACCTGAATGAATTAAATACTGCTGGTGCGCGTCGCATCCTATCTCTGCTCTGCGGAGTAAAGGGCAGTGTCTGAGACAGTTTTGAGCAAGATCAGGTGCATTTATGGGGCTTCATTCACAAAACTAAGGAAAACCCACATTGCTTTGCCAGAGGTGAATGAGGCAAAACATATGCGTAAATACGTGTACGGCGCAGGGTCTGCCACAGGTTGTTCATGCATATGTACAAATAAATATACGCTATATACGCTACGCCAGTGTCTCCCAAAGTGGGGTCCGCGGCCCCCTGGTGGGCCGCGAGGGTACTGCAGGGGGGCCGCGGGAGGTCATAAAAAAAATAAAAAAAATCATATAATTATTTAATGTTAAATTTATAATGTTTTGTTTGTAATATTAAAATATTTGTGTTCATTATTTGATTTGAATAATCCACTGTAATCATTTTTGTATTACAATGTTTGTAGCAGAGGCTATTTCCCCAAAATAAAATAACCAGAAGAGCCTATTCTTAATGTTGTCTTCTTGGTTATTATTTTGGGGGGCCACGCAGACCCGCAGATTTTTAAGGGGGCCTCGGTGTTACTGAGTTTGGGAATGGCTGCGCTACGCTATTTATTCAGCTGCGTTTTGAACACATTTGCAGAAATGTTTTGATAGAAGTGAATAAATAAAGAATGAATGAATGAATGAATGAATTCATATTATGCAGCGTGGCTCTCATCAATGAAGCGTCTGCAGCGTCTGGTGAATGCACTGAAGCGCTGTACACTTGCGAGAGCGTTTGCGGTCCAGATTTTACAGAGAAACTCTAGAGCCAAAACTGAATGACAGCATTTGAGGAGTTATGTGGCGCGTCTCTCATGGCACCTGCTGTGGATGCACTCCCAAGAGTGCGCAGCGGGTGGACAGGGCAGCCAGTGAGACATTTGGAGTGAGCAATACCATAGTCCATCGGTCCATGCGTTAATGGGATGTGTGTCTGTGTGAGGCTTACACATATCTAATGAAAACATACATTGCTTTACCAGATGTGAATGAGGAATACAAATAGCCGTACGTAATTACGCAGCGCAGAGCCTGCCACAGCAATAGACGGGTCACACATCCCTGTCGCGTAAAGTGTATTTGTACAGACCCTTTCACTGTCCGGGATCACAAAGCGCTTCACATTTTAAAAACATACAGATCAAAATAATACACACAGAAGTCAGATTTAAAATCATAGTGATCAGTGATTTATTCGAAGTTTGCGTGTTTCCAGAGTAGACTTTTTCTGATGCGCAAATTCAAATTCCGAAACATGATGCTCCATGAAAATACATGTTGCCAGAGTGGGAACATGTTTATTGTTGTCCAAATCTTGAATTTCATGCGTGTTTTGGCGTGTTGTGAGGAAGGGTGAAATGAGCGTATACACTTGGTGTAAATTCTGTGCGTACCGTACGCTCACGTCCAGATTGATAAATGCGGAAAAGTGTAATTTTTTTGCGTACGCATCATTTACACCCTGATTTGGCCGTACGCAAGTTTCATACATGAGGCCCATTGTGAGACAGGCCTCTACTCTGAAAATGTTCAAATCCAGTTGTGTTTTGCTGTGGACACAACTGAATGCCTTGTATGATTGTTTCTTCCTTGTTTTGTTGAGCACTTTGATTTGCCTAGGCCTAGGGTATGAACTGTGCTATCCAAATAAACTTGCTTTGTGAGTGTGAGTGTGAAAATAACTAGAGAAAACAGCTGTAACACAGACAAAAGGTGTGAAAAGTACATGTGCATGCTGTGTCCCCTTTAAGTAAATACCACTTCTAATCTAATGAAACTGAAGGTGACTTTTCCCACCTGGAGTTTACCCATGATGCCCTGGTACAAAGTCAGCTGATTACAGAGATTTAATGAGGACACATTTCCACCAAGATCAAATGACACAAGGCGACAGAGGAGTGACAGGTGATCCGCTGCGAGGACAGAGAGACCGCAGAGTAGAGAAAATAATGCATTCAAGGGTGCAGATGAACTGGGTCACCATGGGAAACCATTTAGAGACATTACAGAAATACTATATAATGAATAAAAATCTGTTTATTTTACAGTTATTTTTTCAGTACTGTAATGCCATTTTTTAAATGCTGCCCCCCAATGTTAAGTAGTACGATTCTGACTATTTTGTGAGTAAAGGCCTTTGCTGTTTGAAGCGACTCAATAGAATCTTTGATGATATTCCTGTGGCTCAGAAAATGGACAATTAAATCAGCTCTGCTTATGTCTCTCCATGACCTCACACCAAAGTACATAATGTGACATGTTAGTGTCATATGAACCAACTCTGCCTCTGAGGAGCACAGGGACTGGCCTCATGCTGGTGCCTGGAGTCAGGACTAAACGTGGGTAAACAGCGTTTCAGCTTTATGTGGTTAAAATCTGGAAGGCATTTTTTTAGGCTTTGTCAGCAATTAAAACAAGGTTAAAAACAGTTGCACATACTGTATAACTGAAGAGTTGTATCTTCACTCCTTTTCATTGTACTGTGATTACTTACTTCTATCGTGTTTTGGTTAATTACACTAAGTGTCCTTGTGGATGAACTGCCCCCTGTCTTTTTCCCTACAATGTTATGTAGCTCTCTGCTATTGAGATCATAAACACAAGTCCACAGTGTCAACCAGCTAACTTCGGCTCTGCCAATATAGATCTAGAACATCTTGTTTGACTATACGGACATTTATTTCGGATCGTGGCACATTTCTTATATGGTGTCAAGTCACAAGCTATCAATAAATATTGTAACAACCTGCTAACTTGTTTTAGTAAAAAAAAAAAAAGATTAGTCTTTGCGATGCATGATCTGATATTACCATGTAATCAACAGTCCAGGGTCAAAGTTTCACTGGGTTTGGTTTAAGGGGTAAAGGTTAGAGGGTAGAATCCAGGATCAGCTTGCAACAGATGACCTGGACTGTTCATTATTTGGCGATATCAGATAGTGCCTTCAGATTGAACTCTCAAATTGTATACATTAAACCAGTCAAAGGTCCGGAAGAAATCCTCTCTTTATTGATTTAGAACTGTGCATATTTTAAAGCGATTACACACACAATTTAGTTCAACAATTATTTAAAAAAAAAACAGTATACACATTCAAAATTCACAGACAACCCTCAAAATTGTATTCAAATATAAAATAGTTAAAGTCCTTTTTAGAAGTGGTGCAGTGTGTTAAAAGCTACAGCAGACTGTAGTAACGTCTCTTAAAAAGTCTTTGTAGAAAAAAGCCACTCGTAAGAAAATATACCGGTGCCATTAATTGATTAAGAATAATTTACTGTTTTACACACAGTTGAACTTATATAATGCATCATGAGCGTCTTTAAAGGAACTTGAGTTCAGGAGTAAATCAGGTCTAACTAGGTGGAACTTAAACATAGAGACTAGAGCTAAAACAAGACTAGGTCATAAGGTGGGTTTTATGTCCTTTTGACACGCCAGCCCGTGTTGCTCAGTGTGGAAGGAAGAGGCAACCCCAAAAAAATATGTTCAACCCAAAATTCACATTTTATTGCTCAGTGGGAATAAAACTTGTGATAATCCTCTCCACATGTGACTTTAATATGAACATTGAGCTGAAACTAAAGTAAAGTGTCCGTGTTATGTCCCTTTTACGTAAAAGCCTGAGATGGATTTAACTCAAGTCCATAAAGACGCAATTAATCAACACATCCCCAGTAAAAACAAGTGGAAATAAAATGCCTTACACCTTTTCTCCAAACTAAAATAATTCACAAATTAATCTTACAGATTGCAAAAAAAAATATGATTTGAAATGAGCTGTGTTTTGTGTTTAGAATGTTAGGAGACATGACTGAATCAGCGTTTATAGGCCCAAAGAAACCCCAACCAAACCAGTCAAAAATTGAAGCGAAGAAACAGAACGTGAAAAACGTGAGATTTAAGCTTCGCAGATCTTTGTTTCAACCACAAATTTATTCTCAAAGTGACGGATCTTGCGGCAGTTGAGGGCCTCACGCTTTTGTATTCCTGGAAGAAGCATAACAAGAAGATGAGAATAAATTTCCTGGACCTGACAACAAAACCAAAAAAGGAACTTCTAAGTCAAATACAAAAAACATCACTATTGTACTTATTGTATGTACTTCCCAAGGACAGTCCTGCTGGGATTATGGTATTGTGAACATAATCCATAACGGTCACAAAACTCACAAAATCATAACATGTTAGAAAATATTTGGTCCTCCAAACACTTTAACAAGGGAAATGTGTCCTCTGCATAAAAACTGTGCAGACACATGGAGAAATATTAGGCATATTTTGTCATTAAAGTGATCATGATTCTTTGTCAATTCATGTATTAGAATGTGAAATAATTTCTTCAATTGAAAATACTTTCCACCTGTAAATCCCTATGCCATCGTAACTAGAGGGAAGAGTAGGATTTTATTTATTTTTTCAATTTGGAAAATTCCCAGTAGCAAACACATAGATATCATTGTAAAGAATATGATTTGACCTGAGAAAATACCAAAACTAATATATAGGCAATACTTTGGCTACAAACAAAACAAACAATTATCATTAACATTATGAAGATTTGTTGACAAAATGATTACTTTTTTTGTCCAACATAAATTTGGATAACATTTCCCAGTAGTTTATTCTGACCAAATGTACAGATAGATGTTTGTTTTCATTGAACCAAAACTGGACCAAAAGTGAAGATGACTTGTAAAAGTAGACAGAGGCCAATTATTTCATTTTTATTGTATTATATATGGTTTAAATGTTACGTTCCATAGAGCTTTAAAATGATGCAATGCTATGCAATTTTGCTATGGAAATTTTGTATGAAAATCTAAGAACACAATAATGATAATGGTGATACTTTGTCCAAAAAAAAATTTTATATGTGCGCATACGGTGGTGCTTACCTGGGATGGTATCTCTACGCTGCAGTCTGAAGGTGTCTATTCCGTTGCACAGGTTGTAGATGAAGGAGCCCAGCTGGTTCACGTTCTCTATACGCTCTGTCACAATCATCTCCTCATGAAGCAGGTATGACTGAGGCAAGTAGGTACCAGCCTGGAGAAACAACAAAAACACAAGACACATCCTCATGAAGCAAACATACCCTCGTTTCCACCAGCCATACTCTACTCTACTCCTGCCACCTGCCCTGTTTAAGTGTGGTACTTTTTAAGTAAAGTGTTCTGACAGTGATTGGCAGTGCTACTGGAAGCCATAGTTCGGCTCACGGGGCACTGCTGTGATATCAGGTTGACAGTTGTTGACCATGTATATGAGCACATTAACTACATTAATGAACCACACTTTGATTTTTGTTTATATAATCAATAGCATGGTTGTTTCCTTGATAAAATCGTCTTTAAGGGGCAACTTGTCCTCTGCATTTGACCCATCCTGAAATGCCACTATGGCATCCGTCAGGAAGAGTGGTCACCATTGTATAGCACCTGGGGACCCATCTCCAGATGTTGATGATCGGTTTTGTCAGGACTCGAGCTGGAGGATTTTACCTACTGTAAACCTACAATTCTTTAGTGGTAGGGGATACCAGACCACCAGGCGGCAGACACAGGGAGAACATGCAATGACCCCGTTCTAACAAGGATTCAAACCCAGGACTTTCTAGCTGAGAAGCAAGAGTGCTAACCACTATGCCACCGTGCCACAAAAGCCGCATGTCATAGACCCCTGATTTAGAGGTTACGATTTCTGCATTGATCTCACCTTGACGTTGACGATCAGCTCCAGCAGGTCTCTGGGTGGCATCACAATGGAAGTGTTCAAGGGAATAACGTAGCATTTGTTCAGACTCAAGTCCAGATAAGCAGTGAGCATCTAAGGAGAGATGCAGGTTCAAGCACAGAGTTTTGCATAATACATGTCCTTTAAATCCACGGTTACCCAATGTACTAATGTTTAATACCCGAGTGACGAAATGTACTAATGACAGAGACAGTCACAATTTCAACACATTTCAAACCCTATCTTGAAACTACTGAAGACTCGACACTACAGTAATATAAAGATGCTCTATGGAATGCTAGCCCCTATTACAGCGTGAAGCTAACGTCACAAAGGAAATGCCCATATAAGGAAATTGGCCCGATTAGTCCTCTCCTAATATACGCTCTATGGTTCTGACCCTCTGAAAGTCGTGCACGATGTCGGCCGGGTCTCGATCGTCGAACTCGGGGACTGGGACGTTGATAAGCTCCACCTGTTCCTCTTCAAACACCTGGATCCTCTCAGCGATCTGCTTCAGACTGAACTGAGCCTCAATCTCCACCTGCACCTGTGCACAGCCACAGGACACTCATAGCTCAGGCATAGGAACACTTCGAGGCAGAAAACAGCTCTGTCCAGAACAAATGATCATAGTATTAAGTAGAAATAAACAAAAGAACCTTAATGACTATTTACCGTTTTAGAAAGTGAAACAATCTGGGATCATCTAGATCACTCATATACACTAAATTGGTAGCTGCAGCCTTTGATTCTCAGAGAATGTCTGTTGTGCTCTTGGACAGTACCTCTTCCTCCTCCAGGATCATGAAGTCTTCCTCTCTGTAGTTCACTCCACAGTAGTACACCTGCCCCTCCTGCAAACACACAAACACGTAAAACATGTCATCCTGCAATATTCAGGTCCATGGGGATTGTTTACATGAATTGTGACATTATTGTTCCAATAACAGTCACTGACATCTCAAGCTGTGTTTACACCGTGAATGCAGCATCCACATGCACTGGACGCACATTCACAAAATTTCAGCCGGGTGAATTTAGCACATCTGAAGTACTGCCCTGCAAAGCCTCAAAACGCAGGGCACAAGTGGCAGGGGGGCTTTGATGCAAACAGGCTTAAACTAGCAGCTTTTTGTGAAATGTCCTTCTCTGAATGCAGCTCTGCATCGTCTCTGTGTCCAAGACCTTCCAGAGACTTCATAACAGCAGTATGTGTTCAGGGAGCAGCACCATAAGTTTATTTTATTTTTAACCAGTACTTCCACATCCGCAAACACGTTAGCAGCACTTGTTTACACTCACAGGAGAATGAGAACTCAGGTTGGAGGCATATGTTCACAAGCACCCCATTGTCAGTCCTGGTTTAACCCTTGTTTTGGCTGTTTTCAAGTGTTTTCGTGTTCTCCCAGCAGGAGGCCAGTCCCTGTACTCTGAGGAGCACAGGGACTGGCCTCCCGCTGGGAGCATTGTAGTGTGAAGCACTTTGCTTTGTATATGAACTGTGCAATACAAATACAAATTGATTGAATGATTGATATGAAAAATAAACGATAAGTCACATATTGAATAACTTAGCCTAAACTATACCAATTATTCTTCTCAAGGGCCTAATATATGCGCTCTGGGCTGGATAACTGTACAACTTATCACCACAATATAGGTATTATCTGAAAATGTTCCAATTTAGTTACAGTCAATAAAAATAAATGCCCAAACGGTACAAATTTTGGACTGTGAGACTACCAACCACTGGTAAGTATACAAGGAAATATATACCTGTATGTATACATTTGTGGATAAGTCTGTAATACACGGTAGTGCCAGAGTAATTCAATATTATATCATGTAGGCTGAGGGCCGGAAGATTTTTTTTATAAGCCTGATTTGGCCCATGGGGCTGATATTTATTTATATTGTTAAAGCAGTCACTAGCACTAATACAGTTATATCTTGTATCTAATCTAATAATAGATATCTAATGCCGTAATGCCCTGAATTTGTTTTAGTCGTAAGTAAGTAAGTAATCTTTATTTATATACCGCCTTTCACAGACCAGAGTCACAAAGCGGTTTACAATTGTTATTTTTTTCATCCACACAGAGATGGGAGCGGGGACGCCGAACAGGAGGCGCATGCCATTGGTAGGGGAAACCGGAGTACCCGGAGAAAACCTACGCAGAAACGGGAAGAACATGCAAACTCCACTCAGAAAGGCCCTGGTCCGCCCGGGATTCGAACCCAGGACCTTCTTGCTGAGAGGCGTGCCAAAGCGTAAAAAGATACAAATCAGCAAAAAACTAAATTACTTTTGAAAGTTACAAGGACAGATTTTTCAGTTGCTCTCCACCATAATCTTAAACTATAAGCTCATTGGAACGTGCTGATGTAACATCAACGCACCTTCTTGACAATTTATGTACAGTGTTTTTTGCAGAGTTACGTTGCAGGGATGCACTGATACCAGTTTGATACCATAGGCTTGTACTCATACTCGTACTCATACCATATGATCCGATTCCGCCAACTGATACCCACATTTTTAATTCACATTTGCGTCACGACAGCAGACAGCTGTGCGGCACGTGTTGCCATGGTGATCTCCCAAAGTCTGCAGCGAGAAAGCAAGCTAGAGGCAAGATGTTGGCCGTATGGCAGTTTTTTTAATTAAACAAGAGTGTACGAGGTGAGTCCAAAACAAACACCAGCAACTTGATCAAACTCACCACCACGCTGTGGTGAGTTTCCTTTCTTTGTACCATTTGTATGAGGGGACTATGACAGTGGCTCTTATTGTTGACTGTTAAAACAATTGTTTACTGCTGCTGCTGCTACTACTGCTACTACGAGAACATTTACCTCAAGGAAGTAGTAGCGGTACAGATAGGCTCCTCCCACCACGACTCCACTGAGCATCAGCGCCAGACCCAGACACATGCACCAGCACCAGACTCTGGACTGAGGCCTGAGGGGGACAGCCGCCTCCGCATCCTGGAACACAGACCACACACACGAGTGGCAAATGTTACACAAATAAAGAGACATTATGGGAGCAACATTTACATGCTCTTCAAAATATCATAACACTGTTCCGGCAATAAAAACAGCCTTGTTGTTTTTAGATTCATCCCATAGAGTGTTTATGAGGAGTGGACTGACCGAGTGCTGAAGTCACCATTGTGTTTGCCTTGAGGCCAATTAGAGCCAACTCGAACAGGCCATTTGAGCTGGAATGGAGCCAGATTTATGAAAATGTTGTACGTTGCCACGACTGAACGGTCTTCCTGAAAACATGAGACAGGCTTCTACCCTGACAATGTTCAAATCAGGATTAAAACCCTTTCAGTTTAGCTGTGCATACAACTGATACTGATTGTATCTTCACTTAAATTTAGTGTGATTATTTATGATCATCTTGTCTTGTTTTGTTAAACACTTTGAGTTGCCTTGTGTATGAACTGTGCTATACAAAAAAGCTTGCCATGCCTAGAATATGGATTTGACCAAAATAAAGCTTCCATATGACATACTGTCCCTTTAAAGAAAGGGAAAAAAAAAAAGAAAATTATTTTTGTGTGCGAGATAAGCGCCGACGGCCTTGAGTTGTGGAATGTATTTCAAAACTAAAATGACAAATAAAAGATCATTTCATTTGTTAAAAAAAGACTTTGTTTGCCAGCTTTTGTCCAACTGTAAATGTTTTTAAAAGTATTTTATGGAGCGTTTTTCGTGTTTCACAACACACTCTGGTCTTTGTCACAAGAACAAGACCGAACAGGCTCTGAGAAACTCTTCCTCTGAGCGAAGACACAACTCTGACCAGAGATTCAACAAATATGAAAACACTAAACAGCACCAGGAGATGGGCTCACGCAGCTTACAAGAACAGCAAAATAATGCAGTACTTGTTAAACTAAAAGTTGGTACTTTTTACAAGTTCTTTCAATGCTGCTGCCTTCATAGTCATGCTGCCAATATAGGTCATTTTATTTTGCCAGCACCGCCGCAGAACATTGGGCACAGTGGCACAGGGGTGCTTCAACGAATAAAAATTCCACCTCCAGTCGGGGCCTTTCTCTGCTGAGTTTGCATATTCTTCCTGTGTAGGAATGGGTGCTCCGGTATCCCCTATAACAAAAAAAAACTCCCTTATGTGGTTTAGCATGTTATATGTAGTTTTAAAGAAAATTTTCTCAAGGAAACAACCACAAAAAATATTTTGCATTTTGCAATAGAAAGTCTTTCCAGAATTTATTGAACCCAACCCAAAACTCAGCTTCAGTAAAATACCAACCAAAACAATAAACAAATAAAAAACAGTGGAGCCTACAACGGTTGTGGCCTCGGACCAGAAAACTATGACCCTGGCCTATCTGAAACACTTTCTTGCTAAAAACAGGAGGGACATGTGCCCCGTCTACGCAGGACACAAAGTGACGACCACTGTCTGATGAAGGGTAGTGACCCGAAACGTCTCATTGTGTGGTGAGAATTAAAATCTCTTGGGAGCAAAAGCTGTGCAGAGTCGACTTTTTGCACGCAACTTAGAATTGGATGTGCACGTCAATCTCACTCTTGCTCCACACTAAGACAAACTCATCCCGCACAGAGCTGTTTCTGTCATTTTAAAACCCAAGTCTGAACTCCAAACAAGTTCTGGAAATGTGTTCAGCCTAATGACGTTCTTCAAAGTGTGCTTTCCAATAGACCACGTCATGTTATAGTTTAACCCAACGCCACAATCTGTTATCTCTGCTAAATAAAGTGTTGATAAATTGCATTTCTCTCTGTGTAGAAGTGACACAAGACTAGACCTGCTGCTTGCTGTGGGTCTATAAGTGTGTCTATTGTTCCACTTGAGTCCTGGTCCAGATCAGATACTGTTTCAGTTTCTGTGGAGACCAAAACCGATCTGTGTCAGAGGTCTTGTTTCAGCAACAGACAAGAAACTGCACTAGGACCGGTGTTCTGTCGAGTTGGTCTGCCCGTCGAGATGATCTGGCTCAGCTGTTAATGATGCGATGCAAACCAGCGCTGCGCGTCTCACGGCAGCCAAAGCAAACCAAGATGGCGGACATGTAGTCCGCGAATTACTTTAAACGTTAAATATGAACGAATTAAGACACAAATGTCTCTTTTAATGCAACTTGAGGCGAGATGTTGATGGTTCCGCGTTGTGATATGTGTGTTTTAAGAGTAAGAGTTTCGTGTAAAGTTTGTTTTAAGCAGTCCACTGCTCCTGTGAAACTATACTGCTAGTGTGCCCAAATCTGATTTGCGCATGCGCACAAACCCGCCAGAATGGGGAAAAAACTCGATCTAATTAAATATTTTGTTTGAACACACTATTGTTAATCATATTGAATACAGTATGATACATGCATAAAATTTAATTTATTATTTCCATTATCAACCCGACAGACCAGTCACAGGACGCGCCATGGGCCTGACGTATGCAGCAGTCAACTCAAGGACTGCGATCACACAGCAGCAGTGTAGTTTCACAGGAGCAGTGGACTGCTTAAAACAAACTTTACACGAAAATCTTACTCTTAAAACACACATATCACAACGCGGAACCATCAACATCTCGCCTCAAATTGCATTAAAAGTGACATTCGTGTCTTAACTCGTTCGTATTTAACTTTTAAAGCAATTCGCGGACTACATGTCCGCCATCTTGGATTGCTTCGGCTGCCGTGAGACGCGCATGGGCAGGTTTGCATTACATCATTAACAGCTGAGCCAGATCATCTCGACGGGCAGACCAACTCGACAGAACACCGGCGCAGGACGACTGCAGGCATCAAAACGGGGCCAATGATCTTTAAGGACTCTAATGAGAATATGAAGAGAGGATTTTCCAAGCAAAACCAATTGTTCAAATAGTAGTTTTGTTGTAGACTTGAGTTTGTCCACGCTTAATTACCTTTACTCTTTCAAGTTTTCGCCCAATTTACAAAGCTTTCAATTCAAAAAGACTTTATAATAATAATAATAATAAAAAATCAGTTTTATATAGCGCTTTTCTGGACACTCAAAGACACTTCACATGTCATTATTCTTTCACTCCATACACGGTGGTGATAAACTACTACTGTACCCACAGCTGCCCTGGGGCACACTGACAGAAGCGAGGCAACCAGTACGCGCCATCGGCCCCTCCGACCACCACCAACCATTCACTCACACACCAGACTCATTCTAGGCAATGGGGGTGAAGTGTCTTGCCTAAGGACACAACGGCAGCTTGGCACTTTACAGCCGCAGCCGCCCCACTGTGGCATCTGGTGTTCCCAGCGGTTAAGTGTCTTGCCAAGGACACAACGACAGCAGACAGTGGGAGTCGATGGTGAAGGTCGGGCTCGAACCCATGACCCTCTGGCTCAAAGGCTCTACCAACTGAGCTACTGTCGCCCTATATGCATCAGCTAGTAGTCATTCGGAAAGGGGACTCTATTCCACTAATACTTCGGGAAGATTAAAATGGACATTTTTGAAGTCTTGAAAGACATCAAATTTGTAATCATTTTGTTAGACTTAACCTCCACCAATAAATGTTCCGAATTTGCAGAATTCACCTGCTGTGATTCAAAGGCCCTGTCTGGAAAAGGCCCAAACCAAGTAAAAATAAAATTGTATTTATAGGATTCTATATATAATATAAAATATATTTAGGGCTGTCAAACAAATAAAATATTTTAAGCAATGCTCACGATTAAATGCAATTATTCACACATTTAACCCTCTTCTAAATGTCAAGTGATTTGGTTCGAAAAGGGATTGGATGAAGCACAAAGCTCATTTTAATCCCATACCCTCTGATGAGAAAGGAAGGGTTGTCCAATATCAGATACTCAATCTCTACTTTTGTAATCGCTTTTTACAGGGTATAGAACTATATAATTCTACTAACTGTTGAAATGACTGTAATTGTCTCATAAAGACTACTCTGTTATAAAGGCTTCCATTCAAGTCAGTTAGTTGTTTATACAATGGTATGACCATCACCGCAGTGGAAATAACTAAACTAAAACTTCAACGTTTGAGCTGTGACCTGGAGATAGTTGTGATTCCTGATGGACATTCAGTAATCGCGACTGCTTTTGTTTTCTCCAAAGTCCCCTACACAGTGTGCGTGTCTCATGAAGCAGAAAGATTGTGCAGCCGTGCACGTAGGGGATGATTTCAGATTAGAAGTATATGGCAGGCACAACGCACATCATCCAAAAAAGATTACTAAGCACTAAGCAGTTATAAGTGACAATACGAGCCACACTACCCAAACGCTAACTGTGTAGTAGATGTAGTAGACATTGTACCAGCTACAATACTTCTGACCTGATCTTTCTTTCCTGACAATAAAATGTGAATAAAGACAACATGGTCATCACTTGATCATGAATCGCATCTGCATTATGAACCACATGTGATATTCTGAATACTAACACTGACACATAAATCCACGGTGGATCAACGAGTAAACCGTTATTGAGGTTCTACAAAAAGCAATAACAAAAGCAGAGAATAAATAGCCTATATTAGACAAATACTGTCTTTTTAGAAGGGGTTGTATTAATCATCCAATCCTTTTTCAAACCAAATCAAAATACATTAAGAACAGGGAAATATGTGCGAATAATCGCAAGTTAACTATGACATGAAATTCAACAATATGTAATTGTTGACAGCACTAATATATTACATAGTCATGAGCCTTTGAAAAGAAACTGAAAGTGATGCCAACCCCCCTTTCACTTTCTCGAGAAGTGATAACATCTAATCACAATGAGTGTGGGTGCGTGAGTACGTGTGTGGAAACAGGAAATTCCCTTCAACAAATTAAAAAACCTTCTCAAGAGTGATCAGTGCATATATCAATAACCATCTTTTATTTTATGACCTATTATAAATATTTTTTGCCTCTGTCACATGTTTAAATCAGCTTTTTCAGACAGAAACGTGAAAAAGAGGACCACCTTGACTCATCCAATCAACTCTAGGCCCAAACTCACAAGACTCTTTCTTACAGAAAAGATAACGTGTTTTGTAATAAGATGAAGACAGCATGTGGTGGTCTGATTTTCTCACATTCTACTTTTAGGGACTTTCAGTCAAGACAAACAACATGTATGAATAAAAATGTAAACCAGCTTTAAATTAAACTAGACCTGGAACTGAGACTAGTGTTGATGCCATTCTGTCAAGTATTTCAGGCAAAACAAACAGTGACTTTGGTATTGCTCATTGGCCTCTTGTATAAAAATAGATCAGTTAAATGCTTCACTTAAGATGGAACAGTACCAGTAGAAGCTATATATGCATTTCATGCCTGTAGAAAATATCATTTTTATGTCTAGGCAGAGCCACAGCTGCGAATCAACCAAATGTTTGTTTATGATATTATAAACCAGGAACAAACTGCAGATACGACAGAAACTCTTAGGCGTTATGCAAAACCAAGGATTATTAAAACTGAGAGAGGACTACCCTCACCCAATCAGCTCACCGCCTAAAGATTCAAATAGTGACTCAAATAGATCTTTGTTAAAACAAAAAATACTTTTTTTTCTAATGAAGACAGCTGATTAATTCATTTCTAAATTGTCTTACTATTGCGGACAAATCTAAGTTAAAAAGGTACCCCAGCTTAAGCACACACTGTAGATTTGGTGTATGGTAATTAAAGGAGACAGAACATGCTTCTGTCCGTTTTAATCTTTGACACTTGTGGCCCATGCCATGTTTACACAGTGGTCCCTGGTTTATCAAGGGGATTATGTTCTAAAAATAACCTGCAATAAGTGAAATCCTTGAAGTAGCAGATTTATGTTTTAGACTGCAAAACCCTATATACAACTCACCAATCGCAGCGATATCAAACTTGTTGATCTGAGCACTGCTGCAGCTGTCAAAAGCTGTGCAGACACTGTAAAATACAGCTGCAAAAGGGGCACTGCGCTGAGGGGCAGGAGCCGCACTGAGAGCTACAGGAAGACTGCCGTAGTCCTCTGAACTAAGCACTGTGGTGCACACAAGCCACAATAAAGGTCTTCTGACTTTAAGTATAACATTATATATGGTATGAAAATCATATAATGTTTTATTATACGGCTCCTCACAGCAGCAGTAGAATGCTCCATTGATTTGAATGTAATTTCAAAACGTTCTACCGGTCATTATTTTCTATAACGGACCTCTCAAAACAATAATGGCCGCTGCCCATGGCAACCTACTCTCTGCTTGTCTTTCAAATGCGTGGATAACTCCGCAAGTAGTTCCGGCCACTCCGGAGCTAGCCACGCTCAATCAACACACTTAAATGTTAATCGGAGAATACTTATACATATACATTCTTCACACACGTGCACGGAAATTTTCAAAATTTCTGGTCTTGTCTTCATGACAAAAATACTATTTCTCTGCGACAAAAAGCGATCGTGAAAAACCCGGAAGTAGTTCCGGCCGCTCAATAAACGCAAATGCCAATCAATCAATGCAATGAAATGTTAATCGGAGAGTAATTTATACATATCCAGTCTTAATACAAGTGCACGGAAGTTTTCAGAATTTTCCATTTACGTTTTCATGACAAAAACACTGATGTAATGCGAGAAAAGGCGATCCCGAAAAACCCAGAAGTAGATACCGGCACATTTTAAGATGTGCCGGTACATTTTCCGGCACATTTTCGGAAACATTTGCAGAGGATCGAATTATGGATTTAGGTTAGGTTTATGTATGGGTCACTCACCGCTGATGTTCAGGATTCTTTGTTCAGTTTTCATGCAGTTCCAGAGACTTCTAGTTTGGAAGTTTCCAGCCTAACTGTTGCTAGCATAGCCACGGGAAAGCCTTTGGGAACTATTTTATTTTCTGTCATTAAATAAACCTTTCGGCATTCCTAAAAGTGGACTCAAGTTTATGTTGTGTGTTCTGTTGGTATAAAGCCGTATAATAAGCTTCAGGGCAGAAGCAGACCCCTCCGCTGCGCGTCGGGGTCCGCTTCGCCCTGTTGGTACTTATTTTCCGATAATGACCTGCGTAATATAAGTTATCCCTTACGTATATGGTGTTCAGTGGGGCGGCTGCGGCTGTATAGAGCCAAATTGCCGTTGTGTCCTTCGGCCAGACACTTCACCCCCATTGCCTAGAATGAGTCTGGTGTGTGTATGAATGGTTGGTGGTGGTCGGAGGGGCCGATGGAACATACTGGTTGAATAATGACATGTAAAGCGTCTTTGAGCGTTTGTGGAAAAGCGGCATTAGCTGGCCTGGGAACGCCTTGGGGTCCCCCCAGACGAGCTGGAGGAAGTGTGTGTGGATAGGGAAGTCTGGGCGTCTCTGCTTAGACTGCTGCCCCCGCGACCCGGAAACGGATGAAGCAGAAAAAAAATTGAGGGATGGACTAGTTTTTGCATGTATGTTTGACCTCTATCATATCTTTAGATCAGCGGGGCTGTTTGAATGGAGGCTACTGCCCACTTTTATGTATTGTTTGCACGAGGACGCTGCAACTGTAAAACGTTTGTGTTGGGTATCGAATTGGCCTTTTGTTTACATGAAGACTGGGTTTCAGGGGGGTGAAAACGCAAGCGTTGAGAAACAGCCTCCAGAGTATAGTGCGCGGCAGTGGGGTGTTTCACAGCCGCATGAAGAAAATGGTGTGAATTCTCTGCCTGCTATGACCTCACCACTTACCCGCACATACATTTGGACATGCGCAGTAGCCGAAAACAAAAATATAAACAAACAACAATGGCAGCGGATCAACTAATGCTATGTGAGCTTCACTCGATACACAGAGGGGAATTCTACTCCTTCTTTCGTCCAAACAAAACCACACCATTTTTGCTGGTACCGTTAAATGCAGAATGAAATTGCCGCCTTCTTTTCTTGATTTTGCGGTGGCCTGAGGATGTTGTCGAGTAAGTACTTATACTGCTGGGGGTCGCGTGTGTTGTGTTGTAAAGTGCCCCGCCCACTTCTGGCAGGGCACTAGAACTCAGATTCAGATTCATTTATTTGCCATTTGCAGTAAAACCACATTGGAAAAACTGTGCAAGACTACCCCGGTGTGCACACACACCAGAGCTCTTGCCACGGCGCCATCTTTACGGCGCCATGCGCTTTTTTTTTTTTTTTTCTCAAACTAATGAATATATACCCATTTGAATATGCAGATGTTTATTACATCATACTAGTTAGATCTTGTAAACTCGTGTAAAAGCAAGAAAAGAGCTTTGTTACACGCCCCAAACAGGAACATTGTTCTCCGTCATCGTGTAGACACTATGCACTTCGAATAAGAAGCCTGGTCGTTTTTTTATTGCTTTGCAAAGTCTCCACAGCGTCTCTGCAGCGTCTCTGTCTAAACGGGGCCTCAACATGGATCTATTATAATATTAATTGGCTCATCAACTGGCTCATCCTACTGTTTTTAATGTACTGCTCTTTGGCTTGCATACATAACAATGTTAAAATTGAATAACAAAACATTTGAGTAGAAATTGTAATGACAAGATCCTAGAGCATCAGTGGTGTTTAATGTGCCCTTCAAATATGACTGTTTATGGTAAGGAGAATCAATTATATTTAAGCGATAAATCTGAGGGGTTTTTTTCTGACTGATTTAGGTGAATCATTTAAAATTCTGTAAAAGAAAATGTTAAAAGGGGTAGGAAACTAGTTTTGCTTATACGTACGCCTTTTAAAATTGTGTGTATGTGTGTACATGCATAGGTATATTTATTCGTTTATTTTTATTGTATATGTTAAGATACTTTATTGTTCTCACACTGGAGAAATTTACAGTATTGTACAATTAATAATTCATAATTGAAATAAAGATACAACAACAAGACACTTTCTGTTAAAACAAACAACATCTATGTGGCAAAACCCCCATCTTTAAATCTGTATTCTAATCTCTCCATGACCCAGGTTTCTGCTGGTGGCCCCTCCATGTTGTCTCTTCCTCAACAATGACGCACTTTGCACTTGTCCTGAAGGCTGGCAGGGATTAAACCATGACCCAAATCCACAACGCATTCGAACAAACAGGAATAAAACCAACACATTTCAAAACAGCGCCTTTATTTGCACTTTAGCCAGTTTGCGGAATTGTCAAGCGAGATAAACCCGATTAGATACATCCACGTGACTTGTGTTGGCTTATTAACATGAAAGTATTTTAAAGCAACAGCTCAAACTAATGAATATATATCCATTTGAATATGCAGATGTTTATTACATACTAGTTAGATCTTGTAAACTCGTGTAAAAGCAAGAAAAGAGCTTTGTTACACGCCCCAAACAGGAACTGCGATCACCTGCATAGAGATTTGCATACTAAACAATACAATGTGCTGATATAAACATAAATATCGAGCAGACGCGACATTAAATGGGTTTTAAAAGTGTAGTAGCAAGTTAATGCTTTGAACTAACGCCGCTGTCGTGATAAACATCGCTTTATTCGAGTTGGCCATGTTTTTCCTTTACTTACTTTGTCCTCGTCCTCTGGTATGAGACTTTCCGCGTCCTTCTTTGAATCTTTTTGAGCCAAAGCCGAGTTAAAAGACACTTTAACCATGGCGAAGACAGACAGCAATCCAAATGCAGACTGTAGGGTGTGTGAATAATCCGGTTCCAAACAGTGCAGCGAGACGTATCGAAGGAAAAAAGAAAAACACACGAAAGGGGATATTGGCCAGAGCTGCGAAATAACGCGCGTTTGACTTCCGGATTTCAAAATAAAACAGCGAAGGATTACGATAGCGTTCCCGGTTATGTTGAGATCCTATATTCGTCCCACAGTGGGGAACTTTCAGTGTTGCATCAACAGTTACAGAACAGTAGGATTGAGGAGCACACAGCACAAGATAAACTAAACTAGAACAATAGGGAAATTAGTCCTGGATTTACAGCCAGAGTCCTGAATCTATATTGTATTCATTTCAATTCAATTTATTTTTGTATGGCCCAAATCACAACAGTACTTAGGAAAACCTTTGAATTCACCGACACAGATCAGAAAATCAAACTATTCAAACACAAGAAATGTAATGACAAAAAACACATAGAGCCAGTGGTCCATAAGGGGCAGATGACCAATGTTCATAAACGTTGATTAAGTCCAAAAATGTCATTGAATGTTGAGTGTCCTGGATCATCACCACTGTCCTTGGACCCGACACCGCAGCATAGGGCTCACCCGTTTTTTTTTCTTTGCCAGACTATTATGACTTAAAATTTAAAATATTATGAGAATAAAGTAATATGTTTTTTTTTAAATAATTATAACAATAAACTCGAAATCTTATGAGATAAAAGTCAGTACATAATGTAGACGGAACTCCATCGAACATAGCATAGGAATGAACAAAATTAGTCCAGCTGCTTGGATTGAAGTTGAACCAAAACTGGTCGAAAAGCAAAAAGGCTTTGTATTGTAGACTGGGTTTAATAATGTTTACATTGAAATATTATTTATTACATTCAGGGTTCAATGTTTACGGTAAATAAATGGCATGGAAAAACAATGTATAACATGCCATATTAGCACAGGCTCTCAGTGGGGGTTACACTGACATTAGAGTTTGATGTCCACTAGGACGCCACATGTTTGAGTCCACTGGTCTAAAAGCTTCTGTGTCAGACAAAAAACACACACTTTAAAACAATAATATTTCCCTTAGATTTGTTTTGGTAATTTCTCAGGTGAAATAACACTCTTTATAATCTTCATAATGCATAATGTTTCTCCCTCATATATCTCCCCATATATATAAAAAAAAAAAAGAAAATCTCACCTTTCGCCCTCCGCAGGCGGTTATCCCTCTCTAAGCTCGGGTCCTCCTGGTATATATATATATATATATATATATATATATATATTTTAATATATATATATATATATATATATATATATATATATATATATCTCACTCCCAGAGGGAACAATAGCAGACGTTGAGGACAGTTACAAGTATCTCGGTATACCACGGGCAAATGGCAACCTCGAACAGGTGACGAGGAAAGCGGCAACTGCCAAATACCTCCAGCGAGTAAGGCAGGTCCTAAGAAGCCGGCTCAAGAACAAGGCCCGGGCAATTAACAGCTACGCCCTGCCAGTGATCAGATACCCTGCAGGAATAATCAGGTGGCCAAAGGAAGAGATTCAGACCACGGATGTTAAAACTCGAAAGCTCCTTACCATGCATGGCGGGTTCAATCCCAAATCCAGCACCCTGAGACTGTACGTAAGTTGTAAAGAAGGAGGCCGAGGACTAGTGAGTGTGAGAGCCACTGTCCAGGACGAAACATCCAAACTCCATAACTACATCATGGAGAAGGCCAAAACGGATGACGTACTCAGTGAATGTCTCAGGCAGTGGCGAGATGAGGAGGTACTGGAGGAGAGCCCATCATGGGAGAACAAGCCCCTACACGGCATGTACCACCGGAGCATAACAGAAGTGGCTGATCTCAAGAAGTCCTACCAATGGCTAGAAAGGGCTGGCCTACAGGACAGCACAGAGGCACTCATCATGGCTGCACAGGAACAGGCACTGAGCACCAGAACGATAGAGGCCCAGATATACCACACCGGACAAGACCCAAGGTGTCGGTTGTGCAAAGAGGCACCTGAGATGATCCAACACATAACTGCAGGGTGCAAGATGCTGGCAGGTGAAATGGAACTCCATAACCAAGTGGCTGGCATAGTGTACAGAAACATCTGTGCAGAGTATGGGCTGGAAACCCCAAGGTCTAAGTGGGAAACTCCTCCAAAGGTGGTGGAGAATGAGCGTGCAAAGATCCTGTGGGACTTCCAGATACAGACCGACCGAATGGTAATGGCGAACCAACCTGACATCGTGGTGGTAGACAAAGGGCAGAGGACAGCCGTGGTGGTGGACGTGGCTATTCGAAGAGATGGTAACATCCGGAAAAAAGAACATGAAAAGCTTGAGAAATACCAAGGTCTCAGAGAGGAGCTGGAGAGGGCCTGGAGGGTAAAGGTGACAGTAGTGCCCGTGGTGATCGGTGCACTCGGGGCAGTGACCCCGAAGCTAGAAGAGTGGTTACAGCGGATCCCCGGAACAACCTCGGACATCTCGGTCCAGAAATGTGCAGTGCTAGGAACAGCAAAGATACTGCGCAGAACCCTCAAGCTCCCAGGCCTGTGGTAGAGGACCCGAGCTTAGAGAGGGATAACCGCCCGCGGAGGGCCAAAGGTGAGTGGACAATTTTTTTTATACATATATATGGGGAGATATATGAGGGAGCAGCTCTGCTCCGGGCTGCTCCCTCACTGAAGACTGAGGCACCCACAGTGCAAGAAAGAGCGCTACCGCAGGGCCTTTATTCCCACCGCTGTCAGACTGTACAATAAGTCACTTTAAGTCACCAATGCACTAGGACTGAAAAACCTGCACTGCTATTGCCACTCTTTTTTAATTGTCACTCTTTTATTGTACATAATTACATCCTGCACGGACAATATTTTTAACCTTAAACATGTTTGTACACTTCTGTCCTTTGCACAATTCAATCTATGCTAAATGTGTAACGTCTATCTTATCTTATTTTATGCATTGTTTTAGTGGTATAGACTTAATGATGGTAAATAATAATGATAGTGAAATACTGCCGTCATGTAAGGAAGAAAGAAGGAAGAGAGAAGTTTTTTTTAATTGTTATTTTTTTTACATTAGAAACAACTTTTATTTTGTTCCTCTTCACTTCCGGTTATAATCCAACATGGCGACTGCGGCAGAGAAATCAACAAAAGAGCGGCTCGTGTCTGCTTTGGATGATCTGGAGGTTTTATCGCGGTAATAACTCACCTCAAGTCATCTTTTCACGAATGTAGTACACCCCCAGCTGTATAAGCTGACAGTTCCATGGTAGTGTGGTTTTTAAAGCACTTTGTCCAGTAGAAGCCAGCGCCTGTCCAGGGCACGAGTCCACAGCTCATTGATTCAAGTTAGCGACAGTCTGTAATATTTAAACATGTGTTTTGACTTTATTTTCAGGGAGTTGATAGAGATGTTGGCTTTGTCCCGAAATCAGAAACTGCCACAGCCCGGGGAAGACGTGAAGGTAAGAATTAATTAAGAATCCCTCGTCATTTTCCTGTGCAGGTTTGTTTTTCTTTAGCTGATATTATAAAGTCTATAATAACTAATACAGTGATGTAGCGCTTTTCTGGACACTCCGACACATGAGAATATTGTGTGGCAAATGAGGAAAAAACTATTTTGTTGTGGTTAGTGCTTTTAATATAAGAAAGGCATGGGTTCGATTCCACCTCTAGACGGTGTTTTCCAGTGTGGAATTTGCTTGTTCTTCCTGTGTCTGCATAGGTTTCCCAGCAATAATTTGGTTTTAATTCAATGAGTGAGTGAAGGATGGTGTTGGTCGGAGGCTTCGATTTGCCAGTGTTTGGCGTTTTGCTGCTGTCATCACCATGTGTGGAAGGAATGGAAAAACTTTGATATTGGAATGTAATTTAAGTTATCATTTTGGTAAATCATATGTGGCTAGATTATATGCTGAATGCTGAATTATATACTGTCTGTATTGTAATCCACTGTTGACTCCAGAGTGAATTGGAAGTTGTGTGTTAATGCCATGGATCTATTGGTTAATGCCAGGAGGAAGCAGGCTTTTGAACATGCTAATAAGGAAGGTCTTGTCATTTTTCTTTTCTTGTAAGTAAGTAAGTAATCATTTATATACCGCCTTTTCACTGCAGAAGTCTCAAAGCGGTTTACAATTGTTAATTTTTGGGCATTTGTCTCTCACTCCACACAGAGATGGGAGCGGGGCCAGAACAGGAGGTGCATGCCAGACCTATTGTACATATTTTTAGCGGTAGGGGAAACCTACCGCTAAAAATACCTTTTTGTGAAATGCTCTATATAAGTAAACATTACTTATTTACTCCTTACTTACCCACTTACTTGGTTCCTCAGGTCTTGGAGCTGCTGGTTCAGAGGGACCGTGAGTTTCAGGATCTGATGGCGACGGCTCAGTCTCAGGGCAAAGTTCACGACGAAATGCAACAACTGGAGAAAGAGGTGGAGAAGAGGGACAGCGACATCCAGCAGCTGCAGAAGCAACTGAAGGAGGCCGAACACATCCTGGTGCGTTTACATCACAGCAGTGCTGAGCTTCTTCCCAGTATACAGCAGTGTTACTCATTCAACAGACATAAAGCTGTATGCTTAGAAGGTTATTTTAATAAGACAGAAATGTAAAGCAGCTAGTACTGCTTACTCACCTGAAATGTTTCGGCGGACTTCTGCTTTCGTCCAAGGTGACAATTGATGGTGTGATGTGTCTCTTTATCAGCTGTTGTTAGCGAATGCGGCCAGTAGAATGACCGCTTCCCCCGCCGCGTTGTGGTCTCTGTAGAAGTGAGTCCCCAGCCACTGATGGAACTGTTCGGACTCTCCTGAAGCTTCTCTTAGCTATGCAGTTGATATTTTTGTATATGTTTTATAACCGCCTTTAGGTTTTATATGAAATATTTCAAGGGTTGTGTTGTAAACACCTCTTGGCCAGGGTACCCATGGGGATCTCAATGGGCTATAATATATACACTCAACAGGGTTCTCGCCAGGATTATTACTTAGCGCATGGATCCCCTTGCTATTATATTGCCAACAGTATAATCCAAAGATGACTGCAAATGTAGATTGTACATGGGTGTCAAAGATCAGCAGACAGAAGCACAATCTAGGTAATTTTTCTCTCTCGCTGAACGTAACGAGGGATGTAGCATCTGCAGCAGTGCGCAGTGGTTATGGGTGAAGCTGCTGTTAGCCGCACTTCTGCAGTGAGGTAGATTTCAGTCAAAATGAGAGTGGGGGAGGAGCCATTTTGACATTGTGATTAGAATTTTGGGCGCATGTTCTGAGTAACTTTAATAACCAACAGAAAATCCCCCTGATGCCGCAAGCAGCTCTGCTTGTGTACACACCATAGACTGTATATATTAACGGAAGGAGTCACACCTATCTCCGCCGTTCTAAGTGATGGGCCAAAAATTGTGCTATACTGGAGCCATCCAAAATGGACGCGAGTGGTCCCGCCCACAAGGAAATTGTGAAAAAACGCATCTGCACGTCAGCCGGCGCAGCTCCCTTCATTTGAACGAGAGACTTCAAAAATTCACAGCAAGTAAACTAGAGTGGTCCAAAAAAATTCTCCCCCCTCAGCATTGACACACATGTGGAACGGAGCTTTGGGCCAAGAGCCAACTTTTGGACCATCCTGTAAAGACGTTTTCGAGAGGTCTGCCAATGCTATATGTTAGCATTGGCTAATTCTTCTTCTGGGTCCACCCCATAGACTGTATATATTAGTGGACAGAGTCACGCCTATCTCCGCCATTCTAATTAATGGGCCAAAAAATGTGCTCTACTGGAGCTATCCAAAATGGCAGCGAGTTGTCCCGCCCACAAGAAAATTGAGAAAAAACGCATCTGCGCATGCGTCAGCCGGCGCAGCTCCATTCATTTGAACGAGAGACTTAAAAAATTCACTGCAAGTAAACTAGAGTGGACTAAACAAATCCACCCCCCTCAGCATTGACACACATGTGGAACGGTGCTTTGGGCCAAGAGCCAACTTTTGGTCCATCCTGTAAAGACGTTTTTGAGAGGTCTGCCAATGCTATATTTTAGCATTGGCTAATTCTTCTCCTGGGTCCACCCCCATCGGCCCGGGGTGGTATTCCAAGCATGTCAGCGCACGTCATTTTGGCCACTTTTGAGCTGGGACCCGCCCCCACTGGTACATACTCTCTATGGCCTCGCACCTATTTGGGACACGTTAGTCCCATACAAACCAACTATGACTCTTTGGAGCAGACGCTTGGCCTCCTGCTGGGACTCTGAGGAGCACAGGAACTGGCCTCCTGCTGGTCCCAGAGGCAGAACTTAATGGGGAGGCAGCATTTCTTGTAAGGATATGACGTTGTCTCCTATTCGTGATTCTTGTGTTTTAGGCGACTGCTGTTTATCAGGCCAAAGAGAAACTTAAGTCCATAGACAAAGCCAGAAAAGGTGAGCATTTCCTGATTGACTATCTTATCCTTTTTGTCTTTGATTTCTGATGTGAAATGTTCTCGTCTGCAGGAAGTGTTTCGTCCGAAGAGCTAATCAAATACGCTCACAGAATCAGCGCCAGTAACGCAGTGTGTGCTCCACTCAACTGGGTCCCAGGTCAGTGACTTAAAGCAGAAATATTACACACTATTTTCAGAAATTAAAAATGATAATGAGGCTATTTACTTTTTCGTATCGTGTTTTAGAATTTGATATAATATCTTCAATTCAAGTATATAGGGATGTACCGAATCCAGATTTTTGGGGTTTGGCCGAATACTCTGTTAAGATTCTGCCGAATCCGAAACCGATTACCGAATCCTACTCCATCCTCAGTCCATTAATGTTTCATACGCAAATGTTTTAACATCGGCGATGTTGTGTACTGTTTAGGGTCCTTACCACCACAAGACAAATCGGCTTTGCAAATTGGACATGTAGCTCGACTAGAATCACCGTCTTTGAACTGAAAGTGAAAGTACTGCCAAACAACACTTTTTCTGCTCACGAGTTCCATTTTCACTTCCTCACTCACACAGCCTAAGCTACTGTATTCGAGAAAAAATACTTTTAGTAGCCGCACAGCTAGCGCCCAGATGCGTTCAACGGCACAAGGAAATGAGGCTAACACATAGACTGTTTAATTCTTGAGTAGATTCACTGTCCTTTACTTGTTTAATCATCATACACCAGTTATGTGTATCCCTGTGTTGTATTTCTGAAATAATTATTCGGAATAAAATGGTATAATGTCTGTGTGTTTCCCACATTTCTGTGTGCCTTTGAACGCATCTGGGCGCTAGCTGCCGGCTACTAGATGTATTTTTTTCTCAGAGCTTTTTTCCTGCCGTTTCTCGTAATAAACCTTGATACATATGAGCACAAATCAATAATATAATCTGTATATAACAACACAAACTGTTTACATGTTTATTTACACTATTTGACATCCGCAAACTGAACTTCCGGACGAATCCGGTTTCCAGGACGAATCCAGCAGCCACACATGGATCTATTAGCAGCCACAGTGCGCATACTGTAGTGTAAGCGCAGGGTTCGGTTCGGTGGGGAAAAATTCTACGGTTCGGCCAGAAACCGAACCCTGTCAAAAAAGCCACTATTCGGCCGAATCCGAATCGGTACATCCCTAGAAATATATGGTGAGAGGAAGGGTGTTAAGTGTTTTTTCTGTCTGTAACTCCCTATGCTTCCTAATTTGAAAATCAGCGTCATTTCATCTGAGACATTGCCCAAACTAATTAATGGTCAATACAATGACAGTGGTACAATGATATTTAGGGGTGACAGTGGCTCAGTTGGTAGAGCATTGGCCTTTTGGCCAGAAGGACGTGGGTTTGAGCCCACCATAATTCACGACTAATTCATGACTCCCACTGACACTTTGCCTGAAGCCCCCGCTTCAGTGAGGGGCTGGTGCTATGTGAATTGGGTGCAGCTCTGACTGCCACCCCTCTGACCCAGAAATGGATTAAGGGGAAGAAAATGGATGGATGGATGGATTTTTCTGCAAAATCCTCTTGTTTTTTTTGTTTTTTTTTTACTGTTTTGACATTGTTCCTCATCATAAACAGACCTGGAGTAGTTTTAAAAAAAAATCTCCATCCATATTAAAGTGATTGTCTGGAGTTTGTCAGAAAAAATTGAGAAAGGTACATGATTTGAAAAAAAAACCAACCCATGCTCCCTCCCCCTTCCTTTCTGACTGGTCTACACCTACGTTTCTGTAACATCAATCAACACATTTAAATGTTAATCTGAGAACACATTATACAGATACATTATTAACACACATGCATGGAGGTTTTCAGAATTATCTGTTAACGCTTTCATGACAAAAATAATGTTTTATTACACAAAAAAAGCGATCGCGGTAAACCCGGAAGTAGCTATTATCCTTAATTGAACATTGTAGGACACATCTGCAGAGGATCTGATTATGGATATAGGTTCAGTATATAAATGATTATGGATATAGGTTCAGTATATAAATGATTATGGATATAGGTTCAGTATATAAATGGGTAACTCAGCGCGGATGTTCAGAATTCTTTGTTCAGTTTTCATGAAGTTTCAGAGCCTAATGGAGGCTTGATTCGGAGCCTCCGTGAAAACAAACACCTGAGAATGGACGCAGCTACGAGCATCAGCGTCGATGATTGACAGCCCTTGGCATCACTTGATTGGTTAAACTGGACGGCATCATGGATTTTGAGCTATAGCTAAGAGAAGGGAAGGCGGGACTTACCCGTAATATTAGAATTCATAAAATGACTTATTTTATATCAAAATATAAGGCTAGGAGGTCCATTTAATACAATTCTTAAAATGTGTAATTCATTTAGAGTTCCAGACTATCACTTTAATATCAGGAACTTCTGGTACAAACTCTGACTTTGCCGTTTTCAGTGCTTTCCTGAATTTGTTAGTGGAATTCTGAAAGTGGACACTTTCACCTGCCTGAGGTTTGCAGTGAACCAGGGTTTGTTGTGGTTATAAATAATGTCGGTCCTTGTTGGAATTATGCTATCCTCACTGAAATTAATGTATGACATCTGTGTCCGTGTAGTCATCCGAACTTTCTATGTCAGCTCTAAAAATGTCCCAGTCAGTGGATTCCACATGTGCAGCTCCTCCATACCCTCATCAGTCCACACCCTCGTCGGTCCACACCCCCGTCGGTCCACACCCCCGTCGGTCCACACCCCCGTCGGTCCACACCCCCGTCGGTCCACACCCCCGTCGGTCCACACCCTCGTCGGTCCACACCCTCGTCGGTCCACACCCTCGTCGGTCCACACCCTCATCAGTCCACAACCTCATCAGTCCACACCTTTGAGTTCGTCACGACGTGTGCAGGAATCAGATAGATCATGGTGTGATCTGAGAAACCTAGAGCTGCGTGGGGGACAGTGCAAAAATCTCAACTTTCTCCACTTTCAGCTTTAAAAAAATAATTTTGGGTATTTTTTAATCACTGGGTCAATTTGACCTGAAGATAGCTCAAGGGTTAAGTGTCAAAACAAATGCCATATATTTGCTTTGAAAGTCCATGTTCATGTGGTTGACCCTGAGCTGATGTTACTAGGCGACCCGCGCAGGCCGTACCCCACAGACCTTGAGATGCGCAGTGGGATGTTGGGGCTCATGGCCAATCTGCCCACGAACGGAGTGAACGGACACCTGCCCGGGGACGCACTGGCTGCAGGGAGGTTGCCAGGTATTTACACATGTGTGTGACTGTGTGACTGCTGTGTCTATGACTGTGACTACCAAGTGTCCATGTGTGAGACTGCTCTGTGTCCTGTGTGGGTGTGGGTGTGTCTGCCTTGTGTGTAACTTTGTGTACTTGCAGACGTGCTGACGCCTCATTACCCCTGGCAGTCCTCGGACGTTTCTGTGGGGATGCTGCCTCCTCATCACGGCTCGGACCTGGGCCTGGAGCCTCCAGGACACAACAAGGAGAACGAGGAGGACGTGGAGAACATGTCCACAGACTCCTCCAGCAGCAGCAGCGACTCGGACTGAGCAGATCCACAAATGGGGACAGCAAGTCAGGCCCCGGGACCAACGTTGATGGCCTTAAAAACTGCTATGTCTCACAGCAGTTCAAACATACTCCTCGCTTATTCCAAGTATCAAAATTGTTCAGCATGTTTGGTTGCGTTTATGTTGTGGAATTGTATTTCAGCAGGTGCCAACACAACTCTATGGGAAAGGAACCATATGAAACCACATGTCTTGGAATACTGTTACCATAGACTATTATAGACACCTTAATGAGAAAATAATGACACCATGTTGATTTGTGCCGACAAAGAAGATGTGAAACTTGGTGACAGTGTTTGTTTCATGTGGATTGGCCCAGGGATTACAAAGAAAATAGCAAAAAACTAAAGATTGGAATGAAACTTTTGAAACTTACCATAGTGACCAGGACAGATTATTCAGCTGCTATAGGCTCTTTGGAATGTTGTGATGTTACATGAAAGCAACCTATCAGGTTTAAACATAGACTGTATACAGATGGATAATACTATCCTGCTACCTCAATGAAGTTCAATAGGGAAGTTTTGCTCTAACTCACTCTCACTCCTAGTGACTTACATTAAAAGTAAACACCACTTGGTAACTCGCAGGTCACTACTAACAAAATTGCATACACTTGGCTCCACCTTCCCGCTCAAAAAGCCTGTTCAAGTTAGCTTTAATCGGGCAGCTCTGTGGACTTTTTGGGACATGCTGTACTTAGCAATTGATAGCTTCTGATTTGTAAGACTGATTGTATAGTCTGTTTTGAGTTTCTATATTTAACACTGATCATCATTCACAGACCTGAAGTTGCTGTTATGCTAATATCAGACACTTTGGCTCAAACACTTGCTTTTTCTGCTGTGACGTTAGCCTACCCAGACAGAACCAGACAATATTACAATATACAATTCCACATTAGCGCTTCTTATCTGCCCTGAGCTGTCAAAGTGACTGCAGAGGCTTTGATGGCTCCTCACAATAATACTCCATACAGAAGATGAGTGTTATTGTTGATACCGCACTTTTATCAGGTATTGGTATTGATGAGGAATAATAATGGACTGAGAAATGTCACTTCTTAAATTGTCTACAGAAGTCAATCAACGAGTTTACTTCGTGTACAATTAGTATTTTGGCCTCAGATATTTTTGTACTTATATTTTGATGTGTATATAACTGTAAATACATGTAAATAAATGTTTTCAGAAAACTTGTTGTATACAAATCCACCTTGCATTCTTCCTCCTAAATCTTAATCTAATTGCATTTTAAGTTACGTGTGATGGTTACAGTTGTACATATAGGCTGAGCTGAGTGTAAAAAAGTGTTAAAACGGTTCTGAGATGAGCCTGTGTGGATTATAAAACTTTTAAACCTGAAAAAATGTCCATGTCACTAGGTTCCTTGCTCGTTTGTTAGAACAAACAAACAAATCATAATTTTAAAAACAAATTATTCCATTCCAGTCACACTTATACAGAGCAAAAGGGAAATAAAAATACTCAATTCATGCCACAAGCGTCAATGAAAGCCTTCACCACTCTCGTAGCCACCTCCCGGGCGCCAGTTCCATAAGCGGCATGCGGTGTTTACTTGCCGATGAATGCGCAGTCTGATAGGACCAGAATAGCGCAAGGAAAAGCTGATAAGACCAGATAGACTTTATTGATCTCACACAGTAGAAATGTACATGTCACATCTGGCAGGGATAGAAACACTCAAGATTGTGCAAAAGAAAGAAATGTGCAAACATGTTAAATGCAGGATATATTATGTACAATAAAAGTGCAGGTTTTTCAGTCCTAATGCAAGTGACTTGAAGTGACTTATTGTACAGTCTGACAGTCGTGGGAATAAAGGCCCTGCGGTAGCGCTCCTTCTTGTACTGTGGGTGTCTTCCACTGAGAGAACTCCTCAGCTCCTCTACAGTCCTGTGCAGTGGGTGGGAGGTGTTGTCCATGATGGAGGTGACTTTGACTAGCAGTCCATTATTAATAGGACTCAGTGCTCCTTAAGTGGTCACCTTTGGGACATGCCCCCTATGCGTAATGTAGTATTTTGCTCATACGGATGTAAAGATATGACTGCGACTTTGGTGAGGATCGGGAAAATTTAGGTCGGAAGTTATTTTCACATAATTTTGTACAGGTCATTACCAACTGTTAGTGATGTGAGTTTCAGCTCTGTATGTCTGAGCCTGTGGTCAAGTAATGTATTATTATCAATTGGTTGAAAACGGACGCACTATCTTTGTTACCTGGACACAAAAAGTAAATGAACTATAGAGGCTTAAACAACACATCTTCAGAATGCGATGAAGACTGGTTGAAATGTTAATAATGTAAAGACCATATAACCCTCTTCTCATGTTGATTTATTTGTTTTATTAGCCCAAGCCAATACAAAGTATTTGAGAGGGCCATTGTTATTTGTTGGTTTCATATTACTTCTTATTAGGGCACAACAAAAAAGTATGAGTGTGCTTGAAAACAGCACAAACTTGGGAATCATCTATGAGACAGAATCCGGAGTTTGAAAGAACCTAGGGATTATTTTCCATTTAAATTCATGCCAAGTGTTTGAGTTTATGTTTTGGTGAACCTCTACATCTTGACCTTTATCCATTAACTGGTTACTTTTTAGCTTTCTCAGAAAAGTGAAAAATAGAGGCCCGCCATCACGCAGCAGATCAGCCCTCAGCCCAAGCAGTCAAATAAGGACTCATATGGCTCATTCTTACAGAATATTTTCCAATTAGATAAGGGGATATTGTGGTCTGATTTGTTCACAACATATTCTACATCTAAATCTTTAAAATATTTTCACTTATCTTTTAGGCAGTTGCATATATTGATTTAATTATGTGTGATATAGAATTATTGTGATCCATGAAAGGCACTGTGGCTCAGTAGTTGCACTCACTTCTCAGTCCTTTCCATTAAAAACCTGTGCAATAGGAAAAATCCTCCAGTTTTGATCCTGACCAAGAGCATCAACATCTGGAGCTGGTCCCTGGGCGCTGCACTATGGTGAAGGCCCGAGTGGCCTTCAGGATGGGTCAAATGCAGGGACACATTTCTCTATGGGGACACTAAGGTATAACTTAACTAAATTAAATTATTCAAATCTTAATTTGTTAAACATTGGTAGAAAGAGTTCATTATTATTTATGTGGGCATTAGTCAACAAGAACCAAGAACAATGATAAGTCCATGATCCTGCACTACTATTGACACTTTCTGATTGCCACTCTTTAAATTGACACTTTTGTTGTATATGATATATCCTGCATTTAACATGTTTGCACATTTCTTTCTTTTTGCACAATCTTGAGTGTTCTATCCACGCCGATGTGACATGTAAATTTCTCCTTTGTGAGATAAATAAAGCATATCTTATCTTATCTTATCCATAGGTTGATCAATGGGTGAAGAAGTTATTCTCTACAAAAAGAAAGCCAAATTCCAACGGACCTCTAAATCTAAGCAGGGCAAGGGCTGGTTAGTTCTGCAATGGGAGGTCTCTGAGAACATCCAGTGCCACAATTCGGCGGCTGTGGATGTTAAGACACAAACTCTTGTTGTGTCCTTAGGCAAGACACTTCACTCCCATGTTTACAATGAGTCTGGTGTGTGCGTGAATGGTTAGTGATGGTCAGAGGGGTTGATGTTCCATAACGGTTTACTTGCTTCTGCCAGGGCGAATCTAAATCTAGTAGTAAATCACCACAGTGCGCAGAGTGAATGAATAATTACATGAGAAGCATCTTTGAGTGTCCAAAAAAATACTGTATAAAACCAATGCATCATTATTAAAAAGTTTCACAATACATCAAGGCAAGGCAAGGCAATTTTATTTGTATTGCACAATTCATACACAAGGCAACTCAAAGTGCTGAACAAAATAAGATTAATATTAAAAGAGCATTAAAATCATAAATAATCACCTTAAAAAGAAAGATAAATATAAAATCCCTCAGTTGTATGCACAGCTAAACAGAAATGTCTTTAACCTGGTTTTAAACATTGTCAGAGAGGAGGCCTGTCTCACATCTTCAGGAAGATTGTTCCAAATTTTAGCAGCATGAATCTGAAATGCAGCCTCCCCATGTTTAGTTCTGACTCTGGGCACTAACAGGAGTTCAGTCCCTGTGCTCCTTAGAGTCCGGGCCGGTTCATATGGTACTAAACTCTCACTAATGTACTTTGGTGCTAGGCCATGAAGAGACTTGTACACAAGCAGAGCTGTTTTAAAGTCTATTCTCTGAGCCACAGGAAGCCAGTGCAAAGACCAGGAAGTATGATCACTAATGTGATCATACTTCCTGGTTCTAGTCAGGACTCAAGCTGCTGCATTTTGAATGTACTGCAGCTGTTTTACAGCCTGTTTGGAGAGACGAGCAGGCCATTGCAGTAGTCTAACCTACTGGAGACAAATGCATGAATAAGAATCTCCAAGTCTGCTTTAGACACTATGTTTTTTTGTTCACAATTCCTCCATGTTTTTTCCCAACAGAAAGACTATTGTAAAAGTAAAATAATCCAATATGACCACAACGGGCTGTCAGTATTAGACTCTTTTGGCTGAGTGGTGAGTGGTTGAGTGAGGGTGGCCCTCTCTTTTTTGTATCTTTTCTGTCTAAATAAGTTGAAGATGTGACAGAGGCCCAAAATACATTAATGTGAAAACTAGTGATCCACGACAACTGTTTCTGTGAATATTATTACATGGTTAAAAATGTGTTGTCCTTTGAAAATTAACAGCTCTAACAGACATCTGAACTCACATGATCTCTCTCTAGTCTATCCCTCTCGTCGATCGCTGGTCTCTTTCTGGTCTCTTGGTTTTACCATACCCTCGTACATCCCGGGAAAAAAGATTTGACCGGAGTTTACGGATGGCAAAGGCCAGGCTAGGTCTCTTGTATTATTTTATGCTTACTGTGAAGAACTTTTTAAACGTGAAAATGGCATACAAATAAAGATGTATTATCATATGTCTATATATACATAAAACAAATTGAGCCGCAGAAAACATTAACAAACCTTTATTTATAAACATGTAGGTAGATGTGGCGCTCAGTGCGCATGCGTCGCTGCTGCTGTACTGAAGACATGGCGACCTCCCTGATCTGCGGCCGTCTGTCGGCGAGTCTCCGCTCCTCCGGGGCGCGTAGCGCGCTGAGCTCTGCCACAAAGGTGGGTCTTGTCCAACAGGAAGGCCCGGGCTTTCAGCTTCCCGGGCATGTGTGTCTGAGAGCCGGGTGTGAGCTGTAGAAACAGCAGTGATGCAGAAACGAGCAGGGTCAAAAGTGACATTAGCATCGCTCCCATAGAAAATGCCTTGTTGTGCTAGCCCCGTTAGCATAAGCGTCTGTCAAAGCGGGTAACGCGTGAATAGAGCTGTCAAACTGGAGCATACTGGGTTCAAGTAAAGCACATAAACACCACTTTATTATATACGAGTATGACATAAGTGTGGTCTTTCCTTTCATTTATATCATTTTATTATTGGTGACCTCCAACCGCTGCTACAGCTTCGGCTAATAGTCCAGAAAGTAATACATACTAAGTTAAGCATTTGCATACAAGATATTTGTGACAGTAATCGCAAACAGTTGCTTTAAAACATATTTTTAGAAAGCAAAATAATTTACTGATCAATTATATTACATTCATTTAATTATTCTAATGTATTTTTGTATTGCCCTAAATCACAACAAATACATATGGGACCACTTTCCATAAATGTTAATAAATGTCCAAGACCATCACTGTCATTAGACCTTCCTCATCGGAACGAGAAAAATGACAAGTGAGGAACTTGAGGAGGCCCATGTTGAGAGGGGTATCTGCTCCTGTGATGCTTTAGATCCAGGACTCAGGCTGTAGAACGAGGACCAAGGTTGCTCTCACAGGACTGAAGAGGCTCCCTGGCAAAGAGGGGGGTGCAGCCCATGAGTCCGGTCCGTGGGCAAACCTCTGGGAGAGTTCACTTTTCCATGTATCAACTTGAAAAAAAAACATATGATGAATGCACTTTGATTTCTTTGTGGAAGGGAAAATATTATGTATATTATTATAGCAGTCAGTACTTGTCATCACTCTTGCATCACATACATGCATGCATTTTATTATTATTATTATCCATCTTATTAGGGATGGGGCAAGATGGATAGAAACATGGGTTATACATTGGTGAGGTGTGGTCAAACTGCTAAATGTTTCCTTTCAATATTTTATTTCGGAAGTTAAACTGTACATCCCTAACATTGGTTTGATTTGAAGCTGGGGTCCCTAACTTTCAAACTACAAACTTGTGAAATTAACTATTTCACAAACTCTGTTTTTTCAACTTTTTTTAACACTTGGGGCAATGGGAAAAAGTGATAATTATGAAAAAAGTTACATACCCCAGCTTTAAACACAGACAATGGTGTTGGCTTTTTGGAGCAACTAATTTAAATCTACTTTTGAAGATTTGAAATAAGTATACATTCCTATATGTATAATCTTTTGCCCAGTTGATTTAGTAATTGAGAGTTGAAATATTCCTAGGCCTGATTGACTGACTGACTCCCAGGCTAAGAACCGTTGTTTTGATGACCCCAAAACCTCCCCAGCATCTGTCCACTTTCACCTGCTCCTCCGTCCTTCGGTCCCAATGGAAAGTTGTCCGTTCTAATCCTCTGAGCCCTTATCCCTCGGTTTAGCAACTCCTGCAGTCTCTATTAACACAACCAGGCTGCAGAAAACTTCTCCAGTGTTTACATTTCACCATTTATCATTCCTATATACGTTATTTTAAAGAAGAAAAAACTTTAAATACTTTTTAATTTGTCATTTCATGTTTTGGAATGTGATAAAATCTTCAGTTGAAAACATATGGCATAATGAAGGGTGAAAAATGCTATCAGCCTATTATTCCCTATGCTACCAGCAGGAGTAATTATATCATTTATAATAACCGGCTGCACAACCAGAAGTGTGATTGTGAAGAATGTAATTCATGGACAAAACCTTTGTGTTAAAAGTCAGAAAACTGCTGAGTGTGATGTCATAGCGGTACAATGACATTTACAAGATTGAGACAGGAGCTTTTAGACGGAAGGAAGTTACATGTTTGTACCAGAAGATGTTTGTACTGATATTAGCGTGGATTAGGGGTGGGCGATATGGGCAAAAGAAATATTTTTTTGAGTCACATTATTGTCACAATATCTTTAGAATCTATCATTTTTACACAGAATGATCTGCCATGTTTTGCTTGCCAAGGGCATCTATATAGTGTAGATCAAAAAATCAGCTTTTTATCTTATCCAAAAAGGCTCAATATTTACTGAAATTGGCTTTTTACGTGGTTAACACTGGTGCAACATCAGAGTCTATTTAATGCAAAAGTCTATTTGCATTATGTCTCAAGTTCTAAATAAGTATGAGGAGGAAAGAGTGAGATGGGAAAAAGGCGTGTTTGGACCTGTCTTGTTTTAGAGAGTGTATTTGTGTGTTCTATGTTGCTTTTGTTTCTTACTTTTCTGTTTTTGTTCCAAATGTTCAAGTGTTTGTACCGATTGTCTTGGCTTGTATGTTTTATTTATGGGATCAAACAGCTTGGCAAACTAAGCATCTTTAAGTGATTCTAAAGCTGATCGTTTTGAAGCTGCCATTAGAATCTGACACCAGGCTGAAGTACTGTGCCTCTATTTCTGTCCTGAGTTTCAGCCTGGAGCCTGTTGTTTTAAATACTTTACAAGTGGAAGAGACTTGCTGATTGAGAGAGCGTTGTGAAGAACACAACATTATAACTTAAGGATCAAAACATATTAAATTTTGTCCTTTGAGACAGGCACTAAAATGTGTGTGTCTGGAGTACAGAGGTGTAAATGACATGTGGTGGTGATTTTAGTTCTGTTTTTATAATGCTAACTTCTCAGTTTAATACAATGTGGCCTGAGAAAAATATTAGTTCACCAGGATTCCTTCTGAATTTGAGAACACTATTTGTAAATAAAACTTATAAAACTATTAAAGGCAAGGCAAGTTTATAGCTACAGTTCATACTCAAGGCAACTCAAAGTGAGCAAAAGATGGAAAACAATCACACAAGGCATTCATAAATAATCATGGTACATTCAAAAGAATCAGAGGAGAAGCCTGTTTCCCATTTTCAGGAAGACTGATCCAGATTTTAGCTGGATGGTGTCTCCCCGTGTTTAGTCCTGACTCTGGTTACCAGCAGGAGGTCAGTCCCAGTGCTTCTCAGAGTCCTAGGTCAGAATCCCGGCCGGAACAGGGTCTTTCAGCATCAATAGTTGTGAATTAATAATTAGTGGAAAGTAAGCCCACTGTACCTTCTTGTGTTAATTAATTGCTTCCTCTTAATCTGTATTTATGGTGAGAATCTCTTTCATGGAAGTTAAATGATGTTTCTCTGTCCATCAGATTGTGGGCGGCTCGTCGGGTCTCCTGGCTCAGTGCTGCCCCCCTCAGCCTCCTCACTGTCACCAACAGCAGAGGGCACTGTCGCTACACGAGTACATGAGCATTGGGCTGCTGAAGGAGGCTGGCATCTCTGTCCCCGAGGGGAAAGTGGCCAGTTCTTCAGAGGAGGCATACGCTGTGGCCAAGCTGATCGGTCGGTTTCAAATACATCCCATCATTCAGAGGCCTGCATGATTAATCCCAATCAAATATAATAGCAAATCGCAAAGACAATTATTAAAGTTCTTTGCAAACAATGAGGGGAATAACTATGACCACAAAATTAGCAATGAATTGTGCAGCACTACTATGATATGTGCATGTTCATCACATTTATCTTTTTGGTGTTGGTATGAGCTGCTTTGGTCTATGTGTGTGTCTTATCCTAACCCTATTGTGTATATTCCTCCAGACTCTAAGGATCTGGTGGTGAAGGCCCAGGTTTTGGCCGGAGGACGAGGAAAAGGCACATTCGAAGGAGGACTCAAAGGAGGAGTGAAGATTGTTTACTCGTGAGTCTTAAAAGGATCTACCTCCAATAAGAATAGAAGTATACCCTAACCCTAACCCAAGTCACCTTTTACTGTTCCTTGCAAAAGTAATAATACACTTAAACTCTTGCACATTATGTCATGTTATAGCCACAAACATATAGATTTTATTTACATAACTTTTTTGAAAGACCAAAATATATAACTGTGAAGTGTAACAAAAATACAGTATTTTGTTAAAACTATTCAATCTTTAAAGTGGGGTTTGAAAAAGTGTTCATACAGCACCAGTTAATATTATGTAGAATCCCCAGTTCCAGAATCTTATATGTATACATGTATCTATATATATGTATATAAATATTATATATAATTGTTTCCTTCTTCCTGCTGCCGAGAGGGCGGAGTCAATACCGAAGAAACAGGGAGAGCATCTCCTTTTAAACAGAACATGAACCTTTCCTATGAAGCACATGAAGGCACACTAAGTTTGAAGAGCTCTCTGTGGAGCCAGAGAAAATCTATCTGTACACATTTAGAAAAGTCATAATTCTGTACCTTTGTTCCATCTCTTTTCCTTTGTGCTCCAGGCCAGAGGAGGCACGGGACATCTCCTCTCAGATGATTGGTCGAAAACTGTACACAAAACAGACGGGGGAGGCGGGGCGCATCTGTAACCAGGTGTTCATCTGCGAGCGCCGTTACCCACGGAGAGAGTACTACTTTGCCATAACCATGGAGCGGTCCTTCCAGGTCAGTCTCATGTTCAAACCACCATTTTAGGTTTTAAACAGTGTTACAACATCACTCCTTATTACTAATACATCCTTGGTTGTTTCTAGCTCCATCCATGCTATTAAGAGTGAGTCTTTCAAGACCCAAATCAGTTGTAACTCTTCTAATAGGTTTGGTTCATGTGACATTACAACATTCCAAAGACAACGTAAATGGGCATGGTTACATAGGTTTTCGCAAATGAACAAGGCCATGGGGCTTCGATCGTCGTCCACAGGGGTGTGAAGACGGTCCGTGGTCAGAAGGGTTTATTTTTTTCAACCGTGCCAAATGCAGTGTAGTACAACGCTCAGTCCAGCTAATACTAACTTCAGGGACTACCTCGAGATCCGAGTTAAGTTTCCGTTTCTCTTCCTGTTTACACTAGTACAGTGCGCCAACCATGGCGGCAGTTGGTAACGTGTGTGTGTGCAGGCGCGGTGGACACTGGTGCGCGCCTTGGAGTAAGCGCTGGGAAATGAATGAATGAAAATGAAAGAATGAAAACTCTTGCATATGAGCAGAGCCAGGATGTGTTTGTTGTGATTAGGTGACAAAAGTACGTCTGACTCTTGAGTAGAGTCACAGCGTGGGTCAAAATAGAAGGTAGAAGGTAAAGGACGTGTGCAAAGATGCTTGTCACAGTAGGAGGAAGATGTATTGTGACGCCCAATATCACATCCCCACCACACCTCACCCCCCCATTCTCCACTCCCCACCATATCGACTCCCGTCATCTGGGCTTTACCGTGCTCTGGCTCACCTCTTTTAACTGTGCTCAAGCACGGTTGCAGCACCCATGCTCAAGCCCAGTTGCAGCGGTCACACGGCACCTAAAGCCTGGATTTAATTGCGTTCTGGGCCTAGGCCTACTTAAACTGGGCTTTAGGTTGTGCTTGTGACTGCAGCCTATGTTTAGACGAATGTGTATGTTTACATGCAGTGATTACATTGTACACTACATTGAGTGGTGAGAATTAAAATCTCTCGGGAGCAAAAGCTGTGCAGAGTCATCTTTCTTTAACATGCAGGGATTTCACACACGCACAATAAACCTGGAGGAAGAAGCTTGTAGTGACTCACTAAAGTCTTGTTAACTTTCAATTCCAAAAAAAAAAAAAAAAAAACAGTTCTGTTTTATCTGCGAGGTGAGGACCCCATGCAGCTTTAAACGTAGTATTCAAAAACATATGATAATGTTGGCCAGGAGAGAGAACTTTCGGCGGCTTTGGGAATCTAATGATTTAGCATTCCACAGAAAATGCTTGAATCCAATTCTACAACATTGACAAAACCTATTGAAGAGCTTGGCTCATCCTAAAACTGCTCAAAATAAAATACTAGATTGTAATGAATTCATTGATTTTATATATTTTTGGTTTGAAACTCAGACATTAGATTGGGAATGGTGTGAGACGCCAGTGCTTGTACCTTGAAGCACCACCAGATGGCAGTAAAGGGTTATGGAATAGAACGCATTATTTTTGGCATATACAGACAGGACATATAAGAAAGAGCCCCGTGAGTCGCTATTTGACGTTTGGGCTGAGTACTGATTGACTGAGGATGTTCCTCTCTTTTCTGTCTGGACAAAGCTAATCTAAATATGTGACAGAGGCCAGGAATAAGTGCCTGTGAAAAATGAGGATGTAGCAAACAGCCAGAAACTAGTAACATAGATTTTATTACTTGGCTATTTTATGTTCTTAAAGCTAGGCATCACAGCTTTAAGACGAGGGCTGCACAATTAATCACAGTCAATAAGGAAATTGCAAAGGTTGCAAATATTTAAGCAAACAATAAAGGAACTGAAGATAAAATAGAAACACATTTTTTGGAAATGTCCTCTCGATTTGAGTTTATTTTGAATTTTTGTCAATAGAACAGGGACTCTCTCTGGTCGGATTCAAGATTGTTTATTTTGTCTCATTTAGGAGAAATTTGTTTTGGACCAATGAGGTCTGCTCTATTTATATTTGAATGAGTTCAGTATTTGTTTTGGATTTGACGAGAAGATTACCAAACCCAATCCCATACCTCAGAAGCGATTCAATGGATGCTCTGTAGAAGATGAGCATGATGTTCTTAGACACGCTGAACAGTCTGCGCAAAAAGTGGAGGCGCTGATGGATTCTGCTGCACTCAGTAGTGTGCTCCGGCTCAGATCTGAGTCTATGTGGACTCTCAGATATTTAAAGAAGTTCACCTGCCTAATCTCCTGGCTGTGGATGGTCATTGGCTCATGGTGACAAGTTGCTTTGGGGTTATTCTGTATTAATCTATACTTTATGTGAATCGTAACGCAGATCTAAAATCAATGAATAGTAACTTAGCATAAGCAGCAGGATTTTTAAGATGTTTCAAAATGAGATGCATCATAGTAGCAATGGCATCACTTGTGCTATTCTTTTTAACATAAGCAATTTGGAACTTGTCAAGGTAGCAAGAGCCCTTGTCAATGTCTGCAGGGCAGCGCCATGTTGTGGTACTCATGGAGCCTCTGGTCTCTCACTGTCTTCTTTCTCTTCGGTCTCCCTTCGCTCTCTCTTATATCGCTCTCTCTGGTATCGCTCTCTCTGGTATCGCTCTCTCTGCATATATATATTTTTTATTACATGGTACGATTTATGACAGCGTAATGTATATTTATTAATAATTACTGCGAGAATAATGTATACATGGAACCATTTGCTGACGTCAATGCAGAGACCACAATCCTCTTATCAGACGCGGGGGAGAATAGAAAAAAACAGTAATATTCTCTTCATTCTCTGCTGAATTGCAAGCTTGAGTTAGTCTTGTATTATATTTATTCTCATGTACTGCTATAGGCTTTAGGGTCTAACAGATATGAGCTAGGAGTGTTCACACAATGCAATATTTCCCTATTAATTAATGAGACTGCGGTGGCCCCATAGCCTGCTATTGTCGGCACACTCTGAAACTTCAATCTGCTTTAGAACAGCACCTGCTCTAAAGCCGAATTGTATTTATCTGCAGCGGAAAAGCAGCTGTTTGAGCTGTTGCAGAGAGCTGAGCGAGATCTGTCTTTTCATCAAAGAGAGATTGAGTTCAGGGTTAGGTGAACAATTCTAATTAATGTTCATTATCAGGGGTTTTGCCAAGATTTAAGGAGCTCAGCAGAGAGGAGACGGCACAGTTTTAGTCAGTTGCAGTTTTAAAATCTAGTTTTCACACACACATATTTTAGGCCTTCGTCACATCTTTTAGATCAGCTTTTTCAGACGGTAAGGTGAAAAGGAAGGAGCAACCACACTAAGCCATGGAACTCTCAGCCCGAAGAGTCAAATAGTAACTCGCAAGGTTCATTCTTACTCAAAAGATAACATGTTTTCTGATAAGATGAAGAAGGGTTGTTGTGGTCTGATTTGTTCACATTTGTTTTGCTGACAAACTACATGTATTTATGGGGAGCTTTAAATGAGCCTTTTTCACATGTCTTTGTTCAGTTTTTAAAACGTTATTCCAATGCTTTGTGCAACCCTGGTATGTGAAATGTGCTATATAGATACAGAATGCTTACTCTTACTCGTGCCATGTTTGGTCCCCTGAAGACGTAAAAATTATCTAAGCTCTGTCTTTATCAATACATTTTTTGTGTTAATTTTCAGGTTACTTAAACAAATTTAAAACATTTAACAAATGCACTTTTTTTAGATGAAAAGCAAGAGAAATATGGATCATTTTATTACATTTTATTTCCCTTTGTTATTATTCCCCCATGTTGAAAATGGGTCTAAACGACACTGCATTTTCTTGGGTCAACAAAAGATATTACAAACACAAGATTTGTCGGAAGACACTGGTCAGCAGTTTTTAAATCTTAAACCTCTTTATTTGATAAGTAATACACTGTTTTTTCACAAAAGAAAAAAAAAAACACTTTTACACACCTGAAAAAGCTCATCTAAGGATATGACAGAGGCTAAACATACATTTGTGAAAACTTAGAGATAGATATAAGCATAATAATCTTTTCTTTTTTATTTTTTTATTTTTACACATGGATGAAAGTTGCAGCTTTAACCCCATAAACTTCCACCGTTTCTCATACCTTCTGGACTGGTCAGATCAGGTCTGGTCTAAACCTGCTCTGCTGTTGTGTTCAGGGTCCGGTTCTGATAGGCAGCTCTCAAGGAGGAGTGAACATCGAGGACGTGGCGGCCGAAAACCCAGATGCCATTGTGAAAGAGCCGATCGACATCGTGGAGGGCATCAAGATGGAGCAGGCGGTCCGGGTATGCTAAATTTACACACAGGTTTACACAGAGGGTCTCGGGGTCATGATTTGATTCTCGATTTTGCTTTCTTACAGTGCACTGTAGTGTGGCTCAAGTACGCTAATTAAAAACCAAGGGGACGTGAAACCATAAACTGTCATTGACTTTGTATTGAAACTGGACGCTGCACATGGTCCAGTGTGAACACCCCTTAATGCTCTCAACCAATGCAAAGCATTATATTCATTTGGCAAATAATTTACACATGATTCTAGTTTTGATCAACAATTCATGTAATTACAAATTTAGTTCATTAATCAATAATTCTTATTTTTAGAACAGCTTTGACCCATGATAAACAAGTGTGTGTGTGCAGAGGACCAAGTGCAGAGGACCCGGTCCTCTCCACCGGGTGTGTGTGGAGAGGACCGGGGGTGTGTGTGGAGAGGACCGGGTCTGGGCGTTTCTGCTCAGACTTCTTTCCCTGAGATCCGGCAACAGATGAAGCAGAATAAATTGGATTTACCTAACAAATGATTTCACATTCAAAAACATGAAATGCTAAAGCAATTTTTTTTTCCGAAAGAGGCCAAAAGGAGCACTAATGATGCATGATGTGTTCTTTAATGTCTTTGTTGTGGTTTATGGAGTCCACAGTGCATTTCATAAAAACATAAAACGTTCTGAGAAAGAGAGATGATGCTCTACCAGCAGCGGATAACGGCAATTGTCTCTTCAAATGTGTAGTTTCATTCTCACCTCTGATACCTGCAGTGAAATGGTGTTTGGAGAGCTGCGTGAGCCCGGCTTGAAGATGTATTTCTGGTTGTGTCCTTCAGGTGGCGGAGAAGATGGGATTCCCAACGGCCTTGGTTAACGAAGCGGCAGAAAACATGATCAAACTCTACAACCTGTTCATCAAATACGACGCGTCTATGGTGGAGATCAACCCCATGGTGGAGGACTCTTCTGGCATGGGTAACTTTTAGAACTCAGACTTGAATGGTTGCACTCATGGTCCTGATCCTCAGGGGGGGCTCTTAGCTTTTGTTTCAAGGGCCCTGCACATTTCTATCAAAGTGGAATGTTTTGAAATGATTGGGTCTTTGTGTGAGTAAAGGACAAGGGAAAACTATAAAAATGTTTTTATATTTTATTTTATCCATTAAATAAACAGAAGTCAATTTGCCAAGACAAGTTTATTAGTATAGCACAGTTCATACACAAGGAAACAAAAAATTATCTCACAGGAGTTGAATTTAATTTGTTTTTAGAATATCTCGGCAGCACAATGGCTGGGTTCCTATCCCTGTCACCACAGGATCTTTCTTTTTTTATGTTTTGGCTAATTAGATGACACTCTCGCTTCTCAGCAAGAAAGTCCTGGGTTCGAATCCTGGTTGGAACAGTCTTTCTGAGTGGAGTTTACATGTTCTCTCTGTGCCAGTGTAGGTTTCCTCCGGGTGCTCCGTTTTCCCCTTCCACTAAAAACATGTACAATAGGTATGAATGTAATGAGTGAGTGAATGGATGGTGTTGGTTGGGGGCTTTAATGCGCCAGTGTGTTTAGTACTGTTGTAAACAAACACCTCCCTCTGGCTAAATGTCACTCACACGTCTGGTGCTGTAAGTTTATATCAGAAAACCTGGAACTGATCCGAGATTTGGATCTCTTGTTGTTTATCTTCTGCTGATTTTGATTGAGTTCTGAGTCTGACTGTTTTGTCTGACCTCTCCTGAACAAAGTCTATTCCTCTGTTCTCTCCGCAGTGATGTGCATGGATGCTAAGATCAACTTTGACTCAAACGCAGAGTATCGTCAGGGAAAAGTGTTTGAGCTGAGGGACTGGAGCCAGGAGGACCCCCGCGACCGGCAGGCAGCCAAGGCAGACCTCAACTACATCGGCCTGGACGGGACCATCGGCTGCTTAGGTCTGAGTGTGAGATGTGGGAGGAACGACGCAGGCATGCCCAAAGCCTTTAGAACTATTATTACTACTTTTTATTTACACTGTGATGCCTCCTGGTGGTGAAGGGCAGCTGAACTATCTGTCCTGGTAACTATGGTAACTGTTAACAGTCATAGATTTTCACTCTTTTATCCAAATGGCCCATCCACATGAAACAAAAAAGTTCCACATCTTATATAGTCTAGTCTCGTTGGCACTTATAAACTATGGTCTTGGTATTTTCTCATAAAGGTGTGTTGAAGTGGGGACAATATTCAAAAACATGTATGATGTTGGTCAGGAGCCCAATGAGATGGGTCAAATGAGAGAATGTTGTGCACAAGGGATCAATGAAGGGCCTTTAAAGGGCAGAGGAAATCTATTGAGTAATTTCACCGACAAGACAAATGAGTTAAGGTTAAGGAATAAGTTGAACCTGATGCTTATTTTTTTCTTAACTTAATTTTGCATTAGCAGCCATCCGTCTCAAAGTAAACTTTTGAAAACACTTTAAAATTATGTTACATTATTTTTACTCATAAAAAACAAACTCAGAGTTGTAGCTTCATCCAGTGTTGATGTTAATATCATGAAGTTTTGTCTAAAGGTTTTGTTTTCAAACTTTCAATGTGAAAAATTGTGACACCTGCTCTGCTTCAGAGGTCTCTCACTACAACACTGTTCTCATTTCACTGCCTCTCTCTTTCCAAAATTATTTTGTTCATATACAACAACTAGTATAACATGAAATGTATTTAATGATTTACTTTTGTGTTAAACTGCTTGTGTGCATAATCAAAAAGGTACAAAATGAACACAAAAGATATATTTTTCCACTGATGTTTCCTCCTTGTTTATAATGCTTCTGATACAGTGAATGGAGCTGGTCTCGCCATGGCAACAATGGACATCATCAAACTACATGGCGGCACTCCAGCAAACTTCCTCGACGTGGGGGGCGGAGCTACGGCACATCAGGTGACCGAGGCGTTCAAACTCATCACCTCCGACAGAAAGGTGAGTCGCTGACCAGAAGTATCTACACTTCTTGTACAAATGTAGGCAAGGGAAAGGAACTTTCTTTGTATTACACAATTCATACACAAGGCAAGAGACGAACAAAACAAGATAGAGACTGTCAAACAAGGCATTTAAATCACAATTACAAAACATTCTTAAACAGAAAAAAACAAAGAAAAACTTATCATTACCATTTTTAATTGTCCAAAATAATGCTTTATGTTTCTCGTTTAAGATGTAACTAGGGTAAATGAATTAAATCTTGTGTGTTGAAACATGTACTGGGATTGTATTGACTCATGCATATATATATTTCCAAAGAATTTTGGATCACTTTCACTGTAGAGGAGATGAGCAGCTCTTTCAGTGCAAGAAGGAGCAATACAGCAGAGCCTTCATACTGTACCAACCACTGTTGCTTTGCTCTGCTGTAGTCACTTTTAATTTTATTTGTACATAAAATACCATTATTGCACAAAATATACTATCGTTGCACATTTCCTGTTGTTTTGCACATTTCTCTTTTCACACCCTGATCCTATCCATGCCAAATGTAACATGTACATTTCTCCATTGTGAGATCAATAAAGTTTTATCTTATTTTTCCAAAAAAATAAGGGAGGAAAAGGGGTTGTCTGTGAAACTGCACATGTTTTGTCTGTTTCCTCAGGTGCAGGCGATTCTAGTGAACATCTTTGGGGGCATCATGAGGTGTGATGTCATCGCTCAGGGCATCATTCTGGCCGTGAGGGACCTGGACCTGAAGATCCCCATTGTCGTGCGGTTACAGGGTACGAGAACCACTCAAAAAAAAAAATTCCATACGCTTGGGAAAACTCGCATTGAGAGAGGAATTTGCTCCCACGGACGGACAGGCTGTAGATCCAGGACTGAGGCTGTAGATCCAGGACTGAGGCTGTAGATCCAGGACTGAGGCTGTAGATCCAGGACTGAGGCTGTAGATCTAGTACTGAGGCTGTAGATCCAGGACTGAGGCTGTGTGGATCCAGGACTGAAGCTGTGGATCCAGGACTCTGGCTTTTGCATATTTGTAAGAAAGCCTTGTGAGTCGATTGACAATTTGACTGAAAAGGCTGATCTAAAGATGTGACAGAAGTCATACATGCATGCGCGGTCTAACTTGTGATAGACCATAGACTGTACTGTACTGATAGACAATGCACACCAGCGAGCTCAAAAGTGAAGTGCTCTAGGACAATGTTTTGGTCCAACTATGGTGACATCAGCTCTCTCAGTCCATTCCTAATTTATCCAGCTTGAAACCGAAGCCAGGAGCTAATGACATCGATTGCATCGCTTAGTTCAGTTTTGTGTTTTGAAAGTTGCATACCCCAGCTTTGACGTAGATGGGATTAAAATCATGATGACGGAGCAATGTTATAATGTGGTTAAAAGGAGACGGTGCTTTCTTTGGGTTTAAGGTGTATGTTATATCTAATCTTTCTTTCTGATCGCTTCTTTTGGCAGCGCTCTAAGATCACTGTTCATACATGTTCCTCCTCCGCACGGCTCCTGCTCGTCCTCTGCTTTATGCGCTCGGTAAACGCCTTGGATTTGGGGGCATGTTTTCGTTTATTTCTCTCTCTGGCTGGTGTGTTTTGTGCTGGAGCCTAAATGGAGCTGGCACCTTGTGTGTGTGTCCTCAGGGAAATCCTCCTCTTCTTCCACAGATAACACTGTTGCTGTAGAACTGGGACATTCACACTGCCATAAAGACACAATCTCATCACGGCAAAGCTTTCACAAACAGACGTCCTCAAAAGATACAGAAGGCATCATAGTCAACTCCTCTTTGGCTGATGAACAGTGGAAAATGTTTTGAAAGACATTTGGTCATTCAAAAGTAGGAGAATGGCTTTGAAGAAGTCACTGAAAGCTTTAAAGAACGAAGTTAAATAATATTCAAATGAGATGCAAATACTCCTGTTTAGAACTAATTTAATGTTATAGAATGTGAAATTATTCATCAAGTAGAAAATATTTTTTATGAAGGGAATGAAAACAACTTTTTCCCCATGTGGCCACTGGATGGACGGAGAGAATTTGCACATCGTAATTTTTTAAGTTGGGAAAGAAAATGACAAACACAGACTTCTTTCGCCCCGGTCTTTCGCCCCGGTCTTTCGCCCCGGTCTTTCGCCCCGGTCTTTCGCCCCGGTCTTTCGCCCCGGTCTTTCGCCCCGGTCTTTCGCCCCGGTCTTTCGCCCCGGTCTTTCGCCCCGGTCTTTCGCCCCGGTCTTTCGCCCCGGTCTTTCGCCCCGGTCTTTCGCCCCGGTCTTTCGCCCCGGTCTTTCGCCCCGGTTTTTCTCCCTGGTCTCTGTCTCTAGTCTCTCTCTATGGTCTTTTTCTTGCTGGTCTCTCTGGTTTCTCTGGTCGTTTTGGTCTCTCTCGCTTTCTCTGTGATCTCTCTTTCTGGTCTTTCTCTAGTTTCTGGTCTCTACCTTTTATTTTAAAAGAGTATGATGTCCTGTCATAGTACCACTGAGACGGGAGCTTGTAGACTAAAGGGGCAGAGTTACATGTTTGTGCCAGAAGTTCCTGATATTTTGCATGTCGTCTCCTTTAAATTGTTCAAGATGTAAAAAAAAGTTGAAGCTCCATTGTCAGAATATAATTACACACCAAGTTTGTGAATGTCGTTGTGTTGGAGCCTCTGAAGCTCTCTTTACTCTCTTTGTTTGTTTTTGTAGGAACTCGAGTGGATGACGCCAAAGCTCTGATCGCTGCCAGTCCGCTGAAGATTCTGGCTTGTGATGACCTCGACGAAGCTGCTAAAATGGTAAAAAATAAAAACTCCATATCTCTTCCTATCGACAACTTGATCTAACCTGAAATTTAAGCATTTTGTCTAGCGAGGAGAATAGAGAACCAGATGTTAAACTATAGAGCACGGGTATTTAGGCCTGTCGCGATAGTCAATAAATCAATTAATCGCACGATAAATAAAATTTGCTCAATAACTTTTCTGGCCGCGATAAATCTCATTTGCATGCTTGTTTGTTTCCCCCGTCTCTCTCGGGTCAGAGAGCCGCAAAGTGGTCACGGGAACACTAGCGGTCTAGCAAGCAGACGGAAATTACTCAAAAATACAAAATACAGCCAAAACAGGACCTAAACCAGGACTTAACCAGGATTGACAATGGGGGACACAGTAGTTGTGAACATATGCCGGCAGCTGAGTTCTCATTCAGGCTTGATTAATGACTATACTAGCGCAGCTAGCGTTAGCGTGTTCGCCGATGCAGAAGTACCGTACCGTACCAATAAAATAAACTTATGGCGCTCCTCCGTGAACACATACTGCTGTTATATAAAGTCTCTAGAAGGTCTCTGAACACAGAGATGCTGCAGACTTGCATTTTTGGAGTAGAACTCCATCCATCCATTCCATCCATTTTCTACCCTTTAATCAATTTCTGGGTCAGGGAGGTGGCAGTCAGAGATGCCACCCAAGTCTCATAGCACCAGCCCCTCACTGACCCTCTGCAGGTGGTTAGTCCACAGGAGGACGGCTGCTCTCTGAGTGTGAGCATAGCCTTGATCTTTCAGTGGGGGCTTTGGGCAAAGTGGGGTTAAGTGTCTTGCCCAAGGACACAACGACAGCAGTCATCAGTGGGAGCCGGTGGAGAAGGTGTAGAGGTGGGAATTGAACCCACGACCTTCAGGCCTGAAGGCCAATGCTTGGAACTTTACACAAAAAACCCGCTAGCTTAGCTGTTAGCATCAAAGCCCGCCCCGCTACTTCCGGTGGGCGCTACCGCAGCAGGACTTCTGTACGCCCCATTGGTGAACCCACATGTCAGTCACTTGTCATTCGCCTGGTGTGTGGGGAGGTGGGACTACTCCTGAGAGATCCTGTCTTAAGCCACACAAAGTCAACATGTTGGTATTTCTTTCTCGTAATCTGCCATAAAGTCTGAAAAATTATTGACATTTGAGGCATCTGTTTCATATTTTCTTTACAAAGGTCCTGGCAGTTTTATTCCTGGTCATTTTTTGTTAAGAGTCTATTTTATTTATTGTTTTTGGTTGTTTGTTAATTTATTGTGTTCTAGCGTTAAATATTCGTTAAAAATAAAAGTTTATTTCTCTTTGAAAAGGTGTACCTGCATTATCATTGTAATCGATGCAAATGATCTCAGAACGACAATATAATCGCTTATCGCAATAATTTCTGAGACAATTAATCGTCCAGCAAAATTTGTTATCGTGACAGGCCTACGGGTATTCAACTCTGTCCTCAAAGGCATGGCAAGTTTATTTGTATAGCACAGTACACCAGGCAAATTGAAGTGCTTTACAAAACAACATAGAAACTGTAAAAACACGCTTAAAAAGAGTGAAGACACAATCCAATGTATGCACAGTTCAACAGAATTGTTTTTAACCTGGATTTGTCTCACATTTTCAGTGAGCAAGGGCTGGGTAGTGACATGGGTTTCCTGACATAGTTCTATTTCATGTGGTTTGAAGGTTGGGTACCCCAGCTTTAATTAACTGCTGGTGTCCGTTGATAACATTTATATAGCACTCTCCATGCCTTGGGGCAAAATGACAGAAGCGAGGCAATCTGTATGTGCCATTAGCCCCTCCAACCATCACCAAACATTCACGCACACACCAGAGTTATAGCAGACAACGTGAGTGAGCCCTGGTGTTCCCAGAGGTCTCCCATCATTAATCAGGCTCTGCGCTGCCCTGCTTAGCTTCAGAGGTCGGACGGGATCAGGCTTTCACATGTGTTTTGTGCTAATTGTTTAAACTAGTGAATCCATCCAGTGTTTCCTGTGGTTTTCAGGTTGTGAAGCTTTCTGAAATCGTGTCTCTGGCGAAAGAAGCTCAAGTGGACATCACCTTCCAGCTGCCCATCTAGAACCACTCCTGCTTCCTCATGTTTCTGCTCCACCTGCCTCAAAGCTTCCAAAACATCGGCTCTAGGGACGCTTAAACATACAAACGCAACACCACATAACACAACTCCACTCATTCAGGTGATCAAACCCCCACCGCTGCTCCGTGTACTGCAAAAACAGATACATGAGGAAAATGACTTGGAATTATCATTTTATTTGAGTTGTTTTGACACATTTTGATGAATTTACTTTATTTATTTTCAGTTTGTTATGTATCACAACCTTTTTATGCCTTTTTAATAATTCAATATAAAGGCAAATGCAGACGCAAGTGCAGATGAACTGGAAATGTCTTATTTCTCAATATTTACAAAAAATTACTGTTTTAAGTGGATTTTGAAATGGAGCCTTAACCCAGCATGTAATAAAGAAATATAGGTAGAGTTACTGCTGTTTTTACTGGAATAAATACATAGAACATAAAATGGTTTCATAAAAAAAGATACAACACATTTCTGATAATTTATTATGATTTAAAACTAATTCCACTTAATGTATAAATGTATAAATATAAATTATATTTCAACATTTCTGTTTATAACAATTTTGACTTCAACAATATTTATACATTTGCTGATATACAATATATATAATGTTAATTAAGAAAAGGTTTAATTCATTTATTGATTTGTTTATATTGATTCAAAGAACAAAAAAAAGTCAAATATTGTCTCTAAGTAAACGAGTTGAAATGGATCAAAACCGCTCAAACACAATTAAAGAACTACTTTCTAGTAATTACATTGTTTTCAGTCTTAAAGTAGCATAAATAAATACCTAATTAATAATGATTTAATTGTTAATTAAGGCATGATTTAGGATTTGTCATTTAAAAATATTACGGTTATGACACAAGGCTAAGTATGTTAATGAACTATTACTTCATTATAAACTAGGTCTTGTTTATTATTATTAAGTCTTTTTCATGTGTAGTTTCTGTAAAGTTACCAAAAGTCATAACCGTTGTGTGTCTGTTTTTACAGTGCTGTTTCCCAGTGTTTCTTTCGACCCAAATGTACTGAGTCAAAACGCACAATTTATTTTATTTAAATGACTCCTCTTTGGCAACACGTTCAACACGGCTTGGATTTCAACGATTGTACTCCGTTTGTTATTTTAATGTCAACTTTAGGGATGAAATAAATAAATGTACAGCCATTTTGTGTCTATGTTTATCAGCACTAAATAAGAAAAGAGATGATTCATTTAAAGATATTTGTTTTTTGGATGAAGTGGAAGGTCTTTCTGTAGTAACATTATCAGCAAATAGTATTATGGGTTAATTAGATGTTTTTGGTTAAATTCCCATTTCAAAACAAGTCAAAATGTATCTTATTTGAAAAGCCAATCTGACACATGCATTTTGTATTTTTCACAATACATCCTTCCTCATGTTTATGATCCAAAAGTGAGATTAGACATTTTATGGAGACTGTTTTGGTGGAATTCAGTTTGCTGACCTGAATCTTGTTACTTCAGTATTTCTTATTACCATACATTTGTCAAAACGCTTATCTCTTTAAACTTTTGGCAGCTAGTTTTAATATGTATTGTGTGGAGAAGCAGACAAGAGCGAAAACAGGAATTTCCTAGAGCTTCCTACCTCTTCCTACCACACTGAGTAACACGAGCTGATGTGTCAAAACGACCCGATTTGTCTGTACGTTATTTAATTCTCTCGGGTCACTCTCTCTAGTCTCTATTGTTTATCTCTGGTCTCTCTTTTGTCTTTCTCTGGTCCTGGGTGCACCTCGTCAAAGTTTGTTTTCACCCTTTTATTTTGACTCGTTCCGGTCCTCCTGAAAAGCCAACATGGATCCCAACAACAACAACGTTGTCCCAGGTTGACACATTATTGCAACACCAATCTGCAGTGTGAAAACCCCTAAACACTAAAAACATTGATTGTGCTGTGTACACATGCCTCTGCTCCTGTCTGCTCCTCCACACTGCTTCCACTTCTTCTTCTCCCCAACACACTCTTTACATCTTATCTGCTTCTCAGTTTCTAAAGAGCATTTTGGGAACTCGCTCCTGGCTGCGTTTCTCTCCCGATAACACATCTGCAAGTTTTCAACCAGATTATTTTCCGCTTGTTATGTCGTCGCGCAAAAAAATCAGATTAACTCCAAAACCGATGCATTATTCAGATCCTCCGCTCTCGACAAACCAAAACCGTCTCTTGGGAAAACTCCATTTCCCAACTCTCATAAATCTATAATGTCAAGACTATAAATCTGCATGCAAAGCTCTCTTTATTGGCTATTTCTTCAATTGCAGAAACACAAAACAGACCAGTTTTGTTGGATGTGGTGAATATCAATGTAATTTTTGTATTGGTTTTAGTATACTGGACAATGATGTGCAAATGATCTTCTCTGAAGCTTGAGTACCCTTTATGTTTCATAAATTATTAATTTAGTTTTTCCCAAAATAAAGTCTAAAATGTTCAAATCAGACCACAACATGCTGAAAACATGGTATCTTTTGTGTAAGAAAGAGCCCTGTGACTCACTATTTGACTCTTTGGGTTGAGAGCTGATTGGCAGAGTGAGGGTAGTCATCTTGTGTTTACTTTTTGGTCTAAAAAAAAGTTGGATCTAAAATTGTGACAGGCCGAAAACCTATTCATGCGGAAATTAGTGCTGGAACCAAAGTTGGATCTATATTGATATTTTTGTTGTGGTTTGAAAATGAGGTACACCAGCTTTAAGACAATTCTTGTTTTTCTGGCCATTTTTAAAAAATATTTCAACAATGTTAAAAACAATGGCAAAATGTATTGGTAGACACTGGAAAGGCATTTGAAACATGTCAAATACATAGAATAGCTCCTTGTAATTCTTTGGTTCTTGTGCAGCCACACTGCCAGACACATCGCTGTCATTTGGGTCTTTTTCTTTCACTTCTGCTTAAACTCACGTGGGGAAAGTTTCTCTTGTAAATAAAAAGTCTAAATGAAAGAAGCAGTGAGTGTCTGTACAATATTTATGCTCCGCTCTGGAGTCAAATAAAAATTGAGTAATTGAAAAATGTGTTTTGGTTTCATTTATTCATGTTTACATAAAGAGTTGTGCTAAAATCCTGCTGTTTCCTCTATGAAAAAAAATATATGTATGAAGTACAGTTAATGAGCTGGAAGAGTTAACTTAGCTCTGTGTTCAGGGGACATGGAGGACTGTATTTACAGTAGATGGACAATGCCAGCCCGCACGATGATGCCCAATAGGGAAGTGCTCATGGACGAAGTTTGGCTCCAACTGGCTCTGGCTCCTATTGACATTGAAAAGTAAACCCCTCATGCTCAGTACTCACCATTTCAGACTTTAAAAAACTGCTTTAGTTCTCTCTGTGATCCTGATGTTCCTGTCTTTATAAACACAGATATGAGCCATATAAGGATTGATCAATAAGCTTTCCTTAGCAACACATCTGCCTCTTTTACGGCACCAAGCTAACACCCTTAGAACAAAGGCTCGTATAAGGATATGGTTTCAGATAGCTTATATTCAAATCAGCTGCTTCTGGATTCGGCAAATACTATGGTGACGTCAACACTCAGTCAGTCCACTCCTATTTTAAATGAATTATGTAGGAGTTAGCCGTTAGTAAGTCATCTTTATTTATATAGCGCAATGTTCAGATATCTTTCCATTATCTCCACACTGTGAGGACAGAAGCGAGACGCAGAACACACAGGCACACCATTCACTCACTCGTTACATTCATGCCTATTATGCATGTTTTTAGTGGTAGGGGAAACCTACACAGACACGGGAAGAACATGTAAACTCCCCTCAGAAAGGCCTTGTTCCAACAGGGATTCGAATCCAGGACCTTCTTACTGAGAAGTGAGTGCTTTCCACTCAGCCACCGTGTCTCTTAATTGGTTGTTTGGTTCACATTTAGATTTACAAAGATACTCACAATATGAACACTGATAACACAGAGCACTAAACCAAAGATTTGTAATGATTCAAACAAGCACTTCCCTAATGGGCTTTATTGAGGTTAGCATTGTCCATCTATATACAGTCCTACATCCCCTGAACCTGGAGCAGTCTCCCCTCGCTGTGAAGGACACACATGCTGACACGAAGAGTGATGAAGGCGTTCTGCTGTCAGCTCTCACGTTGTAATTTAGCTCTTCACAGATGTATAATTTCCCTCCTTTTCGGCCTCGTCACATCGATTGCAGCAGGAGGTGACGGATGGCCGTGTTTGTGAATAGAGCGGCTGATTTCTGAGAGGCTTAAAGGTCTAATCACTGTTTGTGTTAAGGAAAAAGCTCCCAAAGCGCACATAAATGAACCACAACAACAGAATGTGAGAGGTTTTATCGGGACATAATGACAAACTATACAAGGACTATGGTTATAGTTATAAATGACAATGTTCAAATCCAGGTTTCAACAGTTCTGTACAGCTGTACAAACAACTGAAGGATTTGATCTTCTATCTTTTTAATGTGTGTCTCTATCTTTTCTTGTTCAGCTCTGCAACCTCTGTTCAAAGGACAATTGTATGTTTATATATTAGGCTGTCTGCTGAAATGTGATCGCTGAGGCATCAAACCTGTTGGTTGTAGGTCTGAGCGCTGCTACAGTTGTCGAAAGCCGTACATACACTGTAAAATACAGCTGCTGAGAGGCAGAAGAACTGTAGTAGTCTTCTGAACTAATCACGGCGGTGCACACAAGACACAAACGTTTTCTTCTGACTTTTAATAAAGGTAACTGTTATGTTATTCTAGCGGTTATATGATGTTGGAGTAAACGCAACGCTGTAAAAAAAAAAAAGCATGCAAGAAATCTGCAAAACAGCGGAAAGTGAACCATGTTTTAGTGAGGGAAGACATTCATGACAATCTTCTGTTATGAAATAAACAAATAGCGCTTTATTTCATATTTTTGTGCAAAATTGCAGGGAGGACTTAGTCCACTTGGCCCATTTATATTCGCAGTCCCTGGTTATCCTTCATAATCACAAAAACATGGACAAAGCAGTCTCAGGAATCTACAGATGTGATCTTGATATTAGAACATAATATACTACACAAAGACATAAATGAATCCCTCTAAAAGCATCTTCAGAATAGAAACACAATCATAAATGCTTTTACAGTCTCTTTTGCATAATGTACTTTTTAGTGTTTTGAAAGAATCGGCCTGGAGGACTTTGTCTCTGCTCCTACACTCATTTCATTCACAAAACACATTACATTGCCTCCCTCTTCCCTGGACGGTTGCCATGTTACTGCGGCTCAAAATAACCGCTTTTATGTTCAATAAAATCAGCGCTTTGGCCAATTGAACCTAAAGAGAGGAGAGAGCGCTCTGCTTGCACTCATTCAAATCAGCTCCAGCTCTGGCAAAACTGTAGACTGGATTTACACAGTGCTAACGAGATACTAAACAACATAATAGATAGTGCCTCTAAAGACTGTCTAAAGAAAAAATCCACAAAAATATCAAAAAGAAAACATTGTATGTATAAATACACTTTATTTATCGCTGTTTCCCTTGGTCAGGAACAGAGCTGGAGGATTTACTGTGCATGTTTTTAGTGGTAGGGGAAACCAGAGCACCCGGAGGAAATCTACACAGACATGGGAAGAACATGCAAACTCAGAAAGGCCCTGTTCCAACCAGAAATCAAAGCCAGGACCTTATTGCTGAGACGCAGGAATCCACTGCTATCCACTAAATGAAATTAATAAAATTGTTTTAAAAGACAGAGATTGGCTCTGAGTGTGATGTCATAGTGGTGCAATGACATCATATTGTTACAGGAGTGAGAGAGGAGCGAAGTCACATGTTTGAGCCAGAACTCTCGGATATTAGCATGGATGGATCTACCCACAACTGCAGGATTGCATCTTGTGCCTTAAGTGATTGTTGAGTTGCCTTGTTTTGAACTGTGCTGTACAAATAAACTTGCCTTTGCCTTGAATTGAGATATAGGATGAAATGTACTTTACTTACTTTATCCCATACCTTCATGCAGCTAACATATACAGATGTAGTGCTTTAAAGTTCTTTCACTCCTTCATTATGCTAAAGTTAGAGATCATTTTATTTTAGTTTAGTGTTGACGTTCACTTATCTTTTATAACTGGTGATGCAACACTGACATTTCCCCACTGTGGATGAATAAAGGATCTCTTAAAAGGGGAGATTCATTTTGGTTCAGTTCATTAAAATCTCCCAAAAATCCCCTGCCAACACCCAGAAACGACTTATTTTGTCACTGCTACATAATACTTTCTCGAGCTGAGCCGCATGAGTCACATATTCCACTGTTTTAAAAATCAATGCAAAAGTGTCGCAAACGAAAGCCGCGTGAAGTTCTCGCTGTCGTTATTCTTCAAAAGTTTCTTGAAATAGAAGCCGTGTCTGTCTCCAGCTGCTGCTCTGACTCACTGCAGTTGTTCCAAAGTCTTTTTCTGATCCTGCTCAAACGCACCTGTAATTACCCCTCGCTGTGATGGTTCTGTCTGGCACGAGCAGAGACACAAGTCCGTGTCATTGTAGGTTTATCTAGTCATATACGCGCTCACAGCTATGTCACAACAGTAGTTCTGTCGGAGGACTTCATAAAGATGTCGATTTGCCAACACAGATCCTTTGCTTTGTACAGTATAGACTGCCTGTAAGTAAGTAAGTAAGTAAGTAATCATTTATATACCGCCTTTTCACTGCAGATCTGAGTCTCAAAGCGGTTTACAATTGTTAATCTTTGGGCATTTGTCCACTCACTCCACACAGAGATGGGAGCGGGGTCGCCAGTACAGGAGGCACATGCCAGGGTAGAACACGGGGAGAACATGCAAACTCCACTCAGAAAGGCCCTGGTCCGACCGGGATTTGAACCCAGGACCTTCTTGCTGAGAGGCGAGAGTGCTATCCACTCAGCCACCGTGCCGCCCCTGTAAACATGACTACCTAATTCTGCCTGAAAGGGAGTGGGAAGAATATAACTTTTTTAGTCCCTCCCCAATTCCCCAGTCAGTGATTAATAAGTTGGACAATGCTAACCTGCTAGCTCAATGATGCCCAATAGGGAAAGGCTAATGGACGAAGTTTTGCTCCAACTCGCTCTGGCTCCTATTGTCATTGAAAAGTAAACTCCACACGCTCAGTAATCACTTGTGTCACTCTTATAACTTTGGGCTTTTATAAGCAGTGGTTTAGTGCTCTGTGTGATCCTGGAGTTTATTTATTGTCCTTGAGCCATATAAGGATTGACCAATCAGATGCCTTCATTCTTGAGGGAAACTCCAACTTGCCTCTGCCCCTGTTACAACGCAAACTTGACATTGTTGGAACAAATGCCCATATAAGGAAATTGGCTCCAGCTAGCTAATGTTCAAATCGGCTTCTTCCACATTAAGGCTAACATTATGGTGATGTCAAACTTGGTCAGCCCACTCCTAATTTACAGTCTTAGTAATGACCAGGGAAACTAGCCCCTTGCTGTGGACAGTCCGGCACATGTTTAATCCCAGTAAAAGGCGTTTTCTTTTGGAGCAGACAAATTGAACTCATTCAGACGAGCCGCCCTCGAGCAGCAGCTGAACTGAAACAGAGAAGCATTTTTCACGGTATTTTTAGCAGACGTCAAACGGCTAATGATCAAGTTTTCAGCGGCGCGAGCAGAGCAGGGGCCAGAGATCATGTGAGAGCGGCTTTGGCGACTTATACTTGCCTAGAACCGACCTAGAGTTGTGTTTAGATCCATCTGCGCTAATGGGTGGACCTTCTAGCACAAATCAACACAAACACGTCCCCTCGCCCCATCTGTCTGAATTAGATCCGGTGCAAGGTTTAACTTCAAACTGTCTCTCCCTATTTAAATAAATTGGAATCAATGCCCTATGAATGTTTGCAACTCTGTGTCTCTCTCTGGTCTCTCTGGTCTCTCCCTCTGGTCTCTCCCTCTGGTCTCTCCCTCTGGTCTCTCCCTCTGGTCTCTCCCTCTGGTCTCTCCCTCTGGTCTCTCCCTCTGGTCTCTCCCTCTGGTCTCTCTATCTCTCTCTGGTTTCTCTGGTCAAATTTGGTTCTTTACCAGAATGTGTGGTCATTTAGATTGCACCGGTTTCTCACTTCCTACAGCAGTAATATATAGTTGTACTTTTACACTCTAAAACAGGGGTCCCCAATTAAATTGGCATGAGGTCCACCTACTTGATTAGTCAATAGATCAGGGTCCGGACATCAGACAAATATTTTATTTCATATAAATCCATTCAAGCTTCAAGTTACCTTAAACAACGACTATAGTAGTAAGAACTATTTGAAAAAAAATACAATCTAAATATAGATGTGTATAATTCACACATAACAGCAATGTATTTGTTGTATTTGCATTTGTTTATTTCTACACAACACAAACCTCTCAGAGCAGAGGCTGCAACACACCTCCTCCTCCTCTACACACACTCTGACCTCCTCCTCCTCCTCTACACACACTCTGACCTCCTCCTCCTCCTCTACACACACTCTGACCTCCTCCTCCTCCTCTACACACACTCTGACCTCCTCCTCCTCCTCACACTCTGACCTCCTCCTCCTCTACACACACTCTGACCTCCTCCTCCTCCTCTACACACTCTGACCTCCTCCTCCTCTACACACTCTGACCTCCTCCTCCTCTACACACACTCTGACCTCCTCTACACACACTCTGACCTCCTCCTCCTCTACACACACTCTGACCTCCTCCTCCTCTACACACACTCTGACCTCCTCCTCCTCCTCTACACACACTCTGACCTCCTCCTCCTCCTCTACACACACTCTGACCTCCTCCTCCTCCTCTACACACACTCTGACCTCCTCTACACACACTCTGACCTCCTCCTCCTCTACACACACTCTGACCTCCTCCTCCTCCTCTACACACACTCTGACCTCCTCCTCCACACACTCTGACCTCCTCCTCCTCCTCTACACACACTCTGACCACAACAAGGCTTTTTATGCCAGAAATCCACTGCACTCAGTGAGCACTTAAGTAGGGCATACGCTGTTTGTTAATGCTTTTAATATGTTTTTGATGTGTACCTCTGTGTCGCTCCTCCTCGCTGCTCCTCCTCACACACCTCTGTCTCGCTCCTCCTCCTCCTTTGCTCATACACAGTCAGTGTGAGCACAGCTCCGTACACAGCGCCCATGGCTCATTCCCGTCTCTTTCACGTCTCTGACTCTCACTCGGAGACACTGCTAAAGTTATTTTCACAGCTCCGTAAAGTTTTCTCGAAGGACCCCACATTGCCGCCCTCGCGCCTGCCTGTTTACAAATCGCTTTTGGTGAAAATTTGACACATAATTGTAATAATATACTTTTGTACAAAAAAAAACACGGAGGTCCAGATAAAAGGGTCTCGGGGTCCGGACCTGGACCGCGGTCCGCCATTTGGTGACCCCTGCTCTAAAACATGGAATGGCAAACTCAATAGTCTCATCATTATGACCAAACTAATACATGATGTCTTTGCTTTTGCTGCTCGATCCACGGCTACTTCTGTGTATATAGCATGAAGCCAGCGCTCAGTGGGGGGTTATTACACTTGTAGTTATGTATTTATGTGGACATGAGGTCAGGAAAATACTTCCAAAGAGCTCGAAATAGCAGGAGCTCTTGCCTCCCTTGGGGCCGAGTCCTGGTCCCAATCTGAAACCATTATCGAGTTACACACAGGAAAAACACATTACACAGGAAGCTATCATGGGAAATAATATGTTGCATGGACACATTGAGTTTGTCTGCGGTCTTCACTGTGGTATGTGGACTAATAAAGGCCAGCGACAAAACCAGGATTTTTCGAGTGAGAATGAAATCCCATTGAAATCTGTCCCTAGTTGGTTATTTCAGTATTGCAGCAGCTGCCAATACAACTCTTTGGGAAAGAAGCCAATTTTTAAAGAAATGTAGAAAAATCTATTCTTATTTATTTTTATTTCTGAGCACAGGAAATGCAATAATAAGAAACACATAGGAACTACTGGTCCATAGGAAGTGGGATGACCATTGTCTAGAAAAGTTAATTTATGTCCTTAAGTTTCCATAAACGTCCAGGATCTTCACTGTCCTTACACTCTCTCCTCCACGGACAAGGCACCACTCAATTCTCAAAGCTGCTATATTATTCTGTTGTCTGAAAGTCCTTATTCCTGCCCAACATCATTCATAAGTTTTTTAACGTAACTTGTCACTACTTCTGGACACCTTCATGAGAAAATAACGGAACGTCTATTATTTGAAAATGTTGTAATCACAAGGTGATGTTCTGCAAAAGTATTACACAGATATAAAACCAGCACAATGAGATATAGTTGTTTTACTAGCGACAACAAAATTAGTTCACAAGTGGAGAGAATCATCTTTACCTGAGACCATGAAGTCAGCATAAGAACTCAGGCCTCGTTTCCACCTCGACTCTGCTCTACTCTAGTCTACCTGGTTGCGCCACTATTCCACTTTATCTGGTACCATATTCTAGCCATACTGTGCATTATGTGTGTTTATATAACGACTCATATAATGACTGAGTTTTCCATCACCTCACAGCTGCATTTAAACAGAGCCTCTCCGTCCCTGCATCAAATCAATGTTCATTCAGCAACCCGCTTCCTCCCTGTCAGCACCTGCTCAGTGGAAAATCGTGTAATCGGCTCCGCTTCCATCAGAGTCCAGACCCAGGGGACTCCATCACTATATGGTCTGGAACCGGGGCCTCATCATCTCGGTAAAATGCTCTTCTGCACACGTCATGCAGAGTACCACATCATGCGTCTGCTTCATACAGCTAGAAACAAAACATGATTCGAGTGCATTTCTGTCAGACTGAAACAAGAATCAGTAACATGTTTGAGAAAGGAGCATTTAGACAAGGGATGAGCAATTATTATCTTCATGGGGGCACATTGGGATATATAAGTATATTGTGGAGGGCCAGACTTGTTTTTGTCTGATAACCTTTTTTTTTGGGAGCAACTTAATTGAATGAAAGTTTCCTCAGTTAAAATTGGGACACAAATCTGTGAATTTTTTGGTGTGAGAAGAAACCTGAATATATCAAATGTTATTATTCTAAAATGTATTGCGTTAACCCTCACGATATGGGAGGTACTTGGAAGAATTATTTTTTGGTGTCTTTAGATATAATTTCTTGCTTGGATTGAACCAAAACTCGACTAAAGCTAGAGAAGGCTAAGTTTTGTGGACAGATGAATGCTTTGGATGAATTATTATTAGATATAACATGTAGCATAGTAGCACTCATGATCCCAGAGAGAGAGAGAGGTCTGAGAGAGACTGGAGAGAGAGACCAGAGAAAGAACAGAGAGAGACCAGAGAGAAAAAAACCTGTACAGTAGGATCTAGTGTTTGTGCTTCCCCTCTCCTATTCTTTTGCACTGCCTCTGTGTGGCTGACCGGCTTCACCTGTGCTGCAGACTCACTCTGTATATCAGACCGGTCTGGTCTCCCTCTGGTTTCTCTCTGGTCTCTCTCTTTGGTCCCGCTTTCTGGTCTCTCTCTCTTTGGCGTCCCTCTAGTCTAGCTCTGGTCTCTGGTCTCTCTCTCTGGTTCAGGTCCGGTTATGTCTTGTCCCTGCAAGTCAGTCCCTGGTCTCCAGTGTACTGCTACTGTTGTAAATATATGTCTTCAATCAAACCATAATTATGTGTGACTGGTTTGAGAAAGGAGTATTTAGACAGAAGGGGCGGGGGCAGTGCTTTTGCTAGAAGTTCCTGAAATTGGTGTGGATGGGTCTAAAACAACTCCAGATCTGTGACCGCTGATGAACAATGTTAATTTACCAAACAAATTATCTGTTACATGTGTCACTGCAACAGTTTAAAGTGGAGTTAATCTTAAATAAATAAAAAATCATGCCCGTTTGTTAGGTGAAATGTAGCTGGTTTTGGATCTCATCTTTTGTTTTTCCTAATGACAAAATTCACATACAAAAATAGCACCACACATTTGTCTGAATGAAAGCAGATACAACAAGTAACATACGTAACACATAAATCTAAACTCCAGTCGGTGGATTGCATCAGTGACGAGGGCCCGGGGTCGTCCGTCACTCACTCTGCAGCTCCCACTGACTGCAGCTAGAGTCCGCACACCGTCCCTGCTGTATTTTTATATCTTTGCACATTACTTTAGGGGCTAATTCATTAAGACACTTAAAAATGCTTTTAAAGAAGATACATTTTCATTTCATTTCATTTTCATCCCTTTACTATCCTTTTTTTTTTAGCATGCCCATCACAACTTAGCTTAGGGTCCGAAATAACTGCCAGGTATTTAAACTCCTTAACCTGTTTTATTTTATTTGGATTAACGTTGACTTAATTGAATAATTGTTTCTTCAGAGAAAAACACATTGAGACAGTTTTATCATATACATTTCAAAGTTAAAGTTATTTTCAACCTTCGTTGATACTTCAGCAAACTGCCTGTTTAATTCTTCTGAAGCCTGTTGAGAGGTGTATGCTGCCACAGAAATTATTGTATCATCCGTATACATTTGACAGTGTCTTTACAAATGTTGGGTAAGTCATAATTGTATAAGCTGAAAAGCAGCAGACCTAAAATGGATAGTACTGTGATGGGAGACCAGGTGCCACAGTGGGGCGCCTGCGGCTGTAAAGTGGCAAATCGTAGCTGTGTCCTTAGGCAAGACACTTCACCCACATTGTCTAGAATGAGTCTGGTGTGTGTGAATTGTTGGTGGTTGTCAGATGGGCCAAATGCACATACTGGTTGCCTCGCTCCTGTAAGTGTGCCCCATGGCAGCTGTGGGTTAGGGTTAGGGTTTATCACCACCGTTTATAGAGTGAATGAATAGTGACATGTGAAGCGTTTTTGAGTTACCAAAAAGTGCTGTATAAAAGATAAAGTTTTATAAATGAGTGATATAAGTATTATTATTATTCAATGCCACAGTAAAGGAGAGCGAAGTTATATGTCCACTATTTTGAAACACCATTCTTCTGTCTCTGGGGAACAATCAATTATTTTCTAACATGATGAATAAGTTGATTCTTCCCGACAGCGCCGCTTGTAATCTTCAGTCAATCGGAGACAATATCGCACGTCTCCCTCTTGGCATTTTTCATCATTTCTCAGCTCAAAAATGATATTCCCCTTTGGTTGAACTGATAAAACTGTCACTTATTTTTATTCCAATGAGTCACATCAAGTGTTTTTACGTTGTTTTTCTTTCTCAGTTCAAAAATGGATGTCTATCTTAAAGCATATTGAATTAAAACTAGAAATAACTGGTAGTGATGAGTGATACCAAAACAGAAGCAAAGTAGCATAATGAGGGGTTACAAGGTTTTTCAATGTCAGAAAGTTAAATCAATCTATTGTTGTACCAGCGCAAAAGCATCCTAATTGACTAACATACTTGAATTGGAAACCACAATCTTTGGTCTTTAAAGGCAGATTAACCAATGTCCACAGGAATTATGCAAACACTCCTTCAAAAGGAAAAGTCTAAAAAACGTCAGCAAGAACCACAAAGAAGGAGTGGACGGATTGTGGTCTGACAATGTTGTGACAAAGGAGTTCCATTGTGTGGGGATTGAAAGCTAGGTACCCCCACTTTATTCAGCTTGCGTTACATCTAAAAAATCTCGCTCTGTCGGCTTCTTCCACCCCTCTTCCCCCAAACGCTCCTTTGCCACAGTTATCCCTCGTAACCTTTGGGTCCGGAACATAAACAAAAGCGCTGCAGCCAATCAGCATCAATCACTGTCATCTCCATGGCGACTGCATCTGTTTCCACGGCGGCAGGAAAGAAAGATGGCGGCCAGCACCACTGTATGAGACGAGTGTTCATTAGAGTGAGTGACAGCCAAGGGCAAGAAGCAGGAACAGAAGAAGGAGCCGAGTTTGGTGGAACAAGCAACGTGCAGGAAGCAGATAACAGCATTTCATATGTTTCTGTTTATTCATTTGCAACTTAAGTGTATAAGCCCCGTCTCCACCAGCCCTATACTCTGCTCTACTCTACTCTACTTTACTCTACTCTACTCTATTCACCCTGTTCTATTTACTCTACTCTACTCGGCTCCATTTAGTACCCATATCATCTGGATGTTTCGTATCCATATCCTAGTAACCTACCTACAACAAACCAGTATCCAGGGAAATATAGTACCAGCTCGGCCTGGATAGGACCAGGACCAAGAGAGTAAAAGTACATGGAAGTGGTTAAAAAGGGCTGATGGAAACACTCCCAATCATGGAGTAGTGTAGAGTAGATTTGCGTAAAGCCAAGAGGGGCTGGTGGAAACAGGGATATTTTAACAATTGAGTTCACGTGACATCACCACGTTACAAATAGTTTAGTAAGTTTAACATTGTGATTCTAGTCTTACTTTGTCAGTTATTTCTCTGTAATCCCTTGGCCACATGTAAAATGTCACAAAGTTCCACATCTTTGTCAGCACATTTCAACTACGGTCTCAATATATTCTAATAAAGGTGTCTCAAAGTGGTGACAATATTCCAAAATATATGCATGATGATGGTCAGAAGAAAAGACTTTCAGTCATAAAATGGCTGCTTTGTGAATCTGATGAACTGGGAAACAACAGGGCATGCTTCAACAAGCATCATGAAGGTCAGGGAGAGAAATGAATGAGACAGTGAGACAGTGTGAGACAGTGTGAGACAGTCACACAAAATATATATATATTTTTTGAAAGATGCGCTGGGAAACGGCTGCAAGTCCTTAGTAGCTCTGAGACAGTTGTTGTTTTGTGCTTTACCATTTTATTTTTCTTGCTTTGTACTGCCTGAGATGTTGCTACAGTACAGTGTGCATAGTTTTGCACTGGTCCGGACCAGAGTAGAAAGGATTCATGGTCCAAACCAAGCGGATCAGGTGAAAATCCACAGGAGGCATGCTGACTTTTTGAAAAATGATGATAAAGCATTTAGCATTTTACTTGAACTAGAGCAGAGCAAGTGGTCCAAGCCAGGCGGCTACTCCACCTCTGCTGCTATAACCCGTCCTGCTCCATCCAGAGGCTACTCCACCTCTGCTGCTCTGACCCATCCTGTCCCACCCAGGGACTATTCCATCTTTGCTGCTGTGACCTAGTGCTATTGTTATCTTTTTAGAATGAATTTAGATTTTTTTTTATTTTTGCTGCTACTGGACACCTGAATTTCTCCTACAGGGATCAATAAAGTATCTGTCTATCTATCTATCTATGAGCATTACTTTTGGTTTACTCTCTTGCTTCTCAGCAGGAAATTACTGGCTTCGAATTCCAGTCAGGAACAGAGCCTTTCTGAGTGGAGTTTGCATGTTCTCCCCATGTCTGCATAGGTTTCCTCCGGGTGCTCCGGTTTCCCCTACCACTAAAAACATGTACAATAGTTCAGGGTGAATGAGTGTGTGTTTGTGAGAGTGACTGTGGGACAACAGATGCAAACTAGATGCCCTTGAGGCACCCCAGGATGGGTCAAATGCAAAGGACACCCTACAGGAACAATCAAGTATAGCTGAACATCAGGTGCCGTACAAACAGTGGTCTAAAAATAGTCTATTTATACAAGAAGACATCTAAACATAGTGGAAGAGTAACCAAACTTTTAACTTTCAAATGAAATGTTACAGTGTTAAATGGAAAGACACAGGAGTTGGATGGACAGCTCCGACTTGGCACTTCCAAATTAAACCTTTTTATTTGTGAAACAGAAGGTTGTGTGCGGTCAGATAGGTGAGCAGCAGCTGGAGTTTAAAGCTCATACATGTTAGACTTGTATTGGTC